GGACCTCGGTAAATATTTGTGGCATGAGAGAATGACGCTTTCGGTTTGGGTCTGAGGCAGAGCAAGGACGCTGCGTGGAGAGGGCAGAGTCAATTGAAGGTCAGTTCACTCTCTAAGCAGCTGGAGGATGAGGTGTAGCTCCGCCCACTGGCGGGTGAGGAGTTCTTCCCGGCCACAGTGCTGGTGTGTCCAAGGTGTGGGTCTCAGCTCAGCCACATAGGGCTGTGTGGTCTTGAGCAAGTTGCTTGACTTCTCTGAGTCTGTTTCCTCATCTTTAAAATGGGGATAATACTACCTACATCAGAGGGTGTTATGAGAATTAAATAAGATGAGTATAAAGTCCCTCAGCAAGTCCTAACACATATGAAGTGCTTGTCAACTCCCGTGATCACCTTTGTGGCCCATTTCTTGCCCCCTTCCTCTGCCCTGAGGAAAGACAGCCCTGCCCTCCTGCCATAGGGTTTCAGAGCTGGAGGGCGCCCAGGAATGTGGATAGTCTCTCAAGATAAGATGAAGAAAGGGAGGTTGAGAGAAGGATGGGACCTGCCCCAGGGCACACAGCAAGGGCAGAGCTAAGTGGGGACTGGGGCCCAGGGGTCTGAATGCCCGACCAAGGTTTTAATCCTGAGACCCAGAATTTTCCAGGTTCACAGCATTCTTCCTCCAGCTGCTTCTGCCTCCTTACCCAGTGACAGGTGGGGGCTGGGATAGGGGTCTGGGCCCCAAGAGCAGCACAGTGACTGGATGGTTCCCGCCTGGGCACAGGCTAAGGCCCAGGGCCGGGTCATTGTCCTGTCCACACGCTCTCAGCCACCCTGGAGCCAGGGGCCTTCCTCCCCACCCGCTGTCCCCAGTCTCCAACAATGACCCAGGTATCCAAAAGGATCTGCTCATGACAATAAACAACATCCTCCTGCCAAATAATTATAATTCCAGCCGGGCCATCTATAGCCCGATAGCACACGTGCGTGTGTGCAGCCGTGGGGTGTGTGCCCTTTTTCCTCAACGCTGTGCCCTTGAGTGTCGAGGACAGGCTGCCCTAGGCCTTGTCCTGGCTGGACTCTCGGACACAACAAAGGGGACGTTTTCTCTCCCCCCAGGACAAAACCCTGTGGACCCTTGGCCCACTCCTATCTGGTCCGTTTGCTGCAACTGAACACTCTCCCCCACCCCCTAAACCTGCATCCCAGTGCGGCTTCTCCTTTTTCTAAAAGGGGAAGAGGTCCTTCTGGGGCATGTGGGGTGTTGGGGACTGAGCAATGCCCCTCCCTGCCACTGTCTCTGAACCCCAGTTCTGTGTGTCCCCCTGAGGGTTTTCAAGGCAATTGCCTCTAGGGCTAAAACTCCCCTCCCCACTGCTGTCCGGGCAATTCTGTGGTCTTTACCACCGTTGCTGGGACCCTGAGGCTCTGGGCCTGATGCCCTGCTGGAGCCCCTGGGCTGGTGCCCCACTGGAGGCCCTGCTGCTTGCTCCCACCCTGTCCCACCTCCCTGTTCACAGGGGCACCTCCCCCACCCGCAAGCTAGCCCCACCTTGCCCACATCTCGGCCCTGCCCCATCCACGCCTCCCTCCACTTAGCAGTCCCCACCCGGCGCAGCTTTCTGCTCTACTTCTTGCTTCTGCCTCCACCTCGGTTCTCCCTGTTCCCTCACCTACCCCAGACCTGCAGCCCTGGCCTCTACTCAGCTGCCCTCCTGTAGCCCCAAGGTGGGTGTGCTCACGCAAATGCTGCTGGATCTGGATTCTGCTCCCAGCCTTGGGGCTGCTCTGAGCCTGGAGATGATGTTGGGAGAAGGGAAAACAGGGCATCAGCTGGGAGAGGTGCTGGTGGGATTGCCATGTGGCCTGCTGGGGAAAGGGGGAGCACAGGGCAGAGATAACTCCAGGGTCTACTCTTTGGGTGGGTTTTTGTTCTTCCTGGGAATGCCTGAGATACTCCTTTCCCTAGCTACTCCCCACCGCCACTTACTGGTACAGCCATGGTTCTGTGGCCACAGCCACCCTGCACAGGCCTGCACAGGCCTGTGAAGGGGAAGTCTAGGCTGTCATGGACAGAGCCAGAGGCACAGCTGGGTTCTCTGGCGCTCCTCTTCCACCCAGCCTGCTGAGGGGGTAAGAGCAATAGATTGGCTGTCGGAGGAGACTTGGTTAGTCCCTGCTCTGCCAGGCTTCTACTGGGGACCTTGGGTGGATCATTTCCTCTCTCAGCCTGAGGGTCATATCTGTAGGACGAGGGGCTTGGGCAGTGGAGTCCCTCCCTGGCTAGCCCAAGGAGCCACACTCACGGATCAAAAACTCAGATGTCCATGGGGCCAAGCAAATATGGTAAGAGAGTGAAGCAGGCCAGGTGGAAACATTAGGGAGTAGTGGGGACTGTGGCAACTAGAACACCAGTGTCCCGTCTAAAGGGTAGGCTGCTACTCAGCTCCAGCTGACAATTGCCTTGTAGGAAAGCTGGTTTGGTGTTAATCTTCTGATTTTCAAAGAGAAGGTAGAAGTTAGAATTTGTATACCAAATTCCTGGTTTTTAAATGTTGGCCATCTCAAAAAGAATGTAAAATACTTTGAGGGTCAAATAAAATATGTCTGAAGGCTGGATATGGCCTATGGGTTGCCAGTTTCTGAACTTTTTTTTTTCAGTATAGTGTCTAATTGCCTGAGTTTAATTCTGGCTCTAGCACTTATTTGCTGTGTGATCTTCAGTGAGTTACTTCACATCTCTGTGCCTCAGTTTCCTCATCAGTGAAATGGGAATGAAAGCAACACCTACCTTATAGGGTTGATAAACATGCCCATAAAGCACTTAACATAGCACACAATACATGTTATTTCTTTTTCTTCTAGTTTTAGCTAGATCCTGCTTTACCTGAAGCCCCCCATGCTCCAAGTTCTGAGTTTATATCCTCTGGAACTTCAGACAAACCACTTTCTCTTTCTGGGCCTCTGTGTTTCTGCCTGAAAAGGAAACCAGCATCTTGCTAAAGAAGTTCTGAAATCTCTGCTCACCTTGGCAATGACTTTCCAAAAGTCTGGGGCTCCCAGACACGGTTCCCTCTCACATGCGAGTGGAGTGAGTGGGAGGCCCTGGTGTATGTCTGTCTTCCTTACCTCCTGGGGCCTAAAACTCCACCCTTCCAGACATATTCTTTGGAGCCATGGCTTTGCTGCCTCCTCACATTCTGCTTTAAATATACAGGCACTCCAAGATTGCACACGAACTGTTATCAGTCATTCACACCTTAGTGGGAAAGAACTTGAAGCTGGCTTCTCCATTCTATTGTGTAGAACTGTTTTCACTCCTAGGAAATGCTTCTTGAATTGCTGAAATGAATCAGAGACCTATCCAGCTCCCATGTATCAAGCACCAACTACTAGCAAGGCCCCTTCAGAGCACTTCATGTGAATTATTGGTAATCTTGCCTCAGCTCTGGCAGGTAGATGTTTTCGTTTCTGTTTTCTAGTGAGGAGTCTGAGGCTCAGAGTCTAAATGACTCACAGCTGTTGCGTTCCAGTGCAGGCTGGGCCAGTTCCCAAGCTACAGCGGCTCCCTCCTCCTGACTGGGCAAGGCTTTCCGCTCCACTGGGGGGTCCCAGGCTCTGAAGGCAGGAGGGGCATCTGGAGGAGGAGGTGGCGTTATCTTGGGTTCAGGCAATGGCAATGAAAAGGACATATCCATTTGGATTCTCTACATATTTCCAAACTCTCCTTCCCTGCCTGCCTGACCTACAACAGCCCCTGAGATGCCAATTAAAATTAAAATATCACTAACGTCTAATAATTGTAGCTCTCCCTCCTATGTCTGCAGAGGGCATTCGAGCTCACATCTCATGTTCTCATCTCACGACCTCTCATGACCCTGTGTTGTAGCCAATCTTTTTCTCACTGCATACATGAGGAAACTGAGGCTCACAGGGCAGATAGAGGAGCCGGGACCCCGGCCTGGTAAATGCCGGGGTATTGGGGTAGGGTAAAGAGGACCAGGGGTTGCTTCATTTGCTTACTGGAAACAAAATGAACTAGAAAATATTTCAGAGAAGACTGGGCGGCAGGCAGGCCTGGAGGAGATGACCTTTCATGCATTCCCTGTCCCTCAGACACCTGGGGTTTTCCTGCCTCCCCACCACCTGGCCCAGGCCGCCCTCTCCACTTGCTGAAATCCTACTTGTCCATCGACCTCGAAGACCCTCCCTCCTTCAAGAAGTCTCCTGACCATCCTCAGGAAGGCTATGTTCTTCCTCCTCCAAGTGCCCTGAAGGCTGGCACCGGTGTGGCCTGTGGGGTTACTTTGTCACGAATGCAGGCCTTGTCTGCCCAGCTAGGTTGTAAGCTCCCGAGGGGAGGCCACACGTTCAGCATCCTGGGGAGATGTAGCACCTGGCACAGGCCTCACACACGCAGGTGCTCCACTGGTGCTCACTGATAACGAGATGGGAAGGCACGGCCAGCCCCAGGAGTGGGAAGCGCCAAAAGGGTGCTGATGGCCCCCAGAGGGCTGGTCAAGGACAAAGGGCTGCTGTTCCCAAACAGCCTTCCTGCTCCCCATCCTGCCTCCCCCCGACGGTGCTGGGCATGGAGGCTGGAAGTGCCAGGGGCCAGTCGTGGGCAGAGCCACGGTGCCTGTAGTTGGGGGGTGGGGCGGGGAGCTAGAGCCAGGGCACCTGCTCCATCCGGGAGATGGACACATGGCTAGCCAGGCCCAGTCTGCTACCTGCCCAGAGTCTTTACTCTGCCTCGTCCAGCTTTCCCAGGGTAGGGGGTCCCCCACCTGCGGAAGCTCCTGTGGCTGCTCTCACACAGCCTGGGATGAAGTCGGATCCATGAGCTAACGAAGCAGCTGGGGCTCGGGAGGTCAGCTGACTTGCCCGTGGCCTGCATCTGGGGAACAGCTGAGGGGAACCCACATCTTTGGAGCCCCAGGCCAAGGTTCTTCCCCACTGTGGGGGCACTGGGAGTGGTACTGGCACAGGCAGGTGACAGGCTCTCGTCTCTCTGAGCAGGTCTGGTGGCAGCCTTCAAGGTCGCCACACCATATTCCTTGTACGTGTGTCCCGAGGGGCAGAACGTCACCCTCACCTGCAGGCTCTTGGGCCCTGTGGCCAAAGGGCACGACGTGACCTTCTACAAGACATGGTACCGCAGCTCGTGGGGCGAAGTGCAGGCCTGCTCAGAGCGCCGGCCCATCCGCAACCTCACATTCCAGGACCTTCACCTGCACCACGGTAGCCACCAGGCCGCCAACACCAGCCAGGATCTGGTCCAGCGCCACGGGCTGGAGTCGGTCTCCGACCACCATGGCAACTTCTCCATCACCATGCACAACCTGACCTCGCTGGACGGTGGCCTCTACTGCTGCCTCGTGGTGGAGATCAGGCACCACCACTCGGAGCAGAGGGTCCACGGGGCCATGGAGCTACAGGTGCAGAGAGGTGAGGGCTTCCTGACCTGGACAGCCTGGGGGTGTCACTGTGGGGATGGTGTGTGTGCCCGTCTGGAAGGGGAAGGAAAAGCAGAGAGAAGGACAGGGTGACTGTGGGGTGTGGTGCTGTGTGTCTGATGGTGTGACCGTGTGTGACACTGTGCTGGAGGGGGTATGATGCTATATGCATGGCACTCCAGGGGTGTGTGTGTGAGACAAGATGGCCGCAGTGTACGGAGCTGTGTATAAGTCTCTCTGGTTAGCTGGGTGTGATGGAGAGGAAGGGTGTACGTGGCTCTGTTTATGACAGTGGGACTTGTTAATGGGAGAGGGTGTACGAACCCGGGTTGGGAGTGTGACCGCTCATGACAATACCATGGGTGTGATATGTGACCTGGGGCATGAGTTGGTGAATGGTCGAATGGCTGTCAGGGAACATATGTGTGTGTGTGCATCTGTCCAGGTGAGAGAGCTAGGGGCGGTAGACTGGATGGCGGTGTGGGCGCCGGCAGGTATCCACATGCTGCTGGGGGTGGCAGAGAAGGGGCAGGGCGTGCCCGGCTGTGCGGTGAGAATATGCCTGTGTGTGTGTGTGTGTGTGTGTGTGTGTGTGTGTGTGTGTGTGTGTTGGGGGAGGGGAGGGTGTGCAGGTTCCAGCTGGGCCAACTCTACCAAGCGGCAATAGCGAGGACTGTGACAGGAGAGGGGCACGGCAGCCTGGACAAGCCTACCTGGCTTCCTGGGCCTGATGTCCGCCTAATGATGCTTCTCTTTGCTCCCACAGGCAAAGAAGCACCATCCAAGTGCATCGCGTACCCACCCTCCCCCAGGGAGAGTGAAAGTAAGGGACCACCCTCTTGCCCCTTCTGGGTTCTCTGTTCTCCTCTGTCCTCATCCAGGACCCCATTCTGAACTCTGACCTCACCACCCCAAGCCCACGGAACCCCCATTCTTCCTCTCCTGCTATTGCCCCTCCAGAAGCCCACTCCCCTCCCAAGGCCGAAAGCCTGAGGGTGCAGGCTCCCTGAGGGTCCAAGCTCCCAGAGTCCTGCTCCCGACTCCCTGGGTGGGGCTGTGCCCTGGCAGTGACCTTTGGCCAATGCCCCTCTGACAGGTACAGCGAGCCACAGGCAGCTGAGCTTGCTCTCAGTGGGTACCACTCCTGCACACCAGCCCTCTTGCCACGTGGGAAGGTTGGAGGGCTCTGGGGGGTCCCCCTGGCTTGGATTCAGCTACTTAAAACGTGTTTGTTCTGTATGGGGAGGGAGGAGGGAGAGGCTCAAGAAGGGGAACAGAATTACCTGTCCTGGAGTTCCCGCTACGTGCCAGGCACTGTGCTAAGTCCTTCCAAGTAGTGTTATCGCAGTGGATTCTTAAAAGAACCCTGGGAAGTAGGCATCACCATCTTCACTTTACACACATGGAAATGGAGGCCCAGAGAGGTACCCTGCGGGGGATGGGGGAGCCGCCCTAGGGGGCGCCCCACTCTTCTGAGAGGGGAGGGTCTTGGCTTCCCAGCCTCTATCCACCAGTATTTATCGGGCATCCAGTGTGGACCAGCCCCTGCCTAGGCCCTGGAGATACAAAAGAGCACACTCCTCTCTGCCCTCCAGGAGGACACGTGCAAAGACAGAAGCCAGGATGGGAGCAGTTAACTATAGCCCTCGCCAAACCCAACTCAAAGGTCACGGTGACTTTCTACTCAAAGTCTCTTTTTTGAACCAACAAAGGACTAGCCAGGAACAAAATTAGAACAGACATTTCGGTCTGAGCCAGACCCACATGGAGCTAAGAACCTCTTTGGTTCAAGTCCCTCTCCTGCACACCGCAGAACTCACGTGTCGCCTCAGCACCAAGCCACTGCCGTCCTCACTTCCTCCACCAGCAGCTCCCTGGTGCTGGGTGGAGAGGGGCCTCTGAGCAGCCCCTGCCTTCCCACGCAGCAGCTCACTACTGTGCGTGCCCACGCATGTGCCCGTGTACAGGCCGGGTGAGCCTCACCTGGCAGGGCACACGAGTGTTCACTTCCCCATTGCTCCTTCCACTCTGAGCAACCCCCAGTCCTACTTCTTCCTCCAGGAGCTCCTGCAGAGCTCCCTCTGAGACAGTCCCTTCCGCCATCGCCCCATTTCACAGATGGGTAAACAGGTTCAGACAGGTGAAGGGACTTGCTCCCAGTCTCTCAGACCCAGAGCCAAGAGGAGATGCCAGAATGCCTGATTCTCAGTGCGCAAACCCTGCCTGAGCGCTGGGCTGCTCTCCCCTCTGTCAACACCGACTTTCTGAAAATTAGTTGTGCAAGTTATGTCTTGGGGACAGAGACAAGAGATGCCAGAAGGGACAATGCTAGAGAAATCAGGTGCAAAATGGAGAGGGAGCAGAGATTTGGCTCATTTTCTTGATCTAGACTCTAGAGAAGCAGCTGCTGGAATTTTAAGGGAACAGAAGTCACCTGGGAAATCCTAGGAGTCCAGCTGATAAGAGCCAGAGGGTGAGGCAGGACCTTGACCTTGACTGTCAAGAGTGGGTGAGGCTTCCTTTGCTGGGTGGGCACCTCTGCTTTCAGGCTGTGACATTTTCCATCCTCTCCAATTCACGGGATGTGCAGCCCCACCCTGGCCCCTGCTTTCCTGAGCTACTGTCCACAGTGAATTGGCTCCTTGAGGGCCAAAGGGACATGTTTGCTTCTGTCCCAGCTGCTGAGGGCAGGGGGATGGCTTCAATGACCTCTGGAGTCCCCTTCATTCCCCTTCCAGACTCTTGGTTCTGGAGGTCTGGAGACTACAGCTGTGGTGGAGTCTTGGCACTAAGGTCTCGGATGAGAAGAAACCCAGCCATACTTTTAGGTGGGGGCTCTGGACAACACGTCCATTCTCTGGGTACCATGTGTCCAGGGAGAAAGGGGAGCAAGTGTGTCCCTTTCCTATAAACAGAAAGGCAATCAGTGTCATCTAAGGGGCTGACTCAGGGATCAAAAACTCAAATTGGCCAGGGAGCTGGTGAGTGAGACGAAAGGGAGGAGTGGAGACTGCGGTGAGTGCCCAGCTGCCAGTCTGTAAGTGCAGTTCCAAGTGCTGCATGCCAGGAGGGGGGCCCAGGGTTGCCAGAGCCACTACGTTTTCAAACAAAGTCAGAAGTTCAGATTTTACATGAACTCTCAATTTTAAAATGTTGGCAACTCGTAAAAAAATAATTAAGTACTGTGTGGGCCATGGTTGCAACCTGAGCCCATTCTAGTGAAAGGCAGTGTGGTAAAGTGGTTAAGAGCACAGACCCTGAAATCAGCCAAGTTGCTTAACCTCTCTGTGCCTTACTTTTCTCATCTGTAAATAGAGAGGATTATAATTGTACTTACTTTCCAGGTTGTTATGAGGCTAAAATTAGGTACTACATGTAAAGGGCTAAGAACCATGCCTGGCACAGAGATAAGTGCTGTGTAAGTGAGGGCTGGTATCACTTCTGCAGAATTCTAGGCCTGGCTTCCCAAGTCAACTCATCCACTCCCCTGTGCCAAGGCAGGATGGCATATAGATGGCTGCAGGCAGTGGACACATATCCTGTTTTCTAATGGCTTACAGACATCTGCCTGGTGACCCACGTGCTTAGTGGGCCCTGGGCTCGCCCCTCGGTACTGCCCTCCACTGCCGCTTACCTTTGGAAAGATCCCAGTCCCTGCTCTAAGACAGGTGCCCCACAGCCAGCCTTGGTACCTGATCAGCTTGATGCTTCCGGCCAAGAAGCTCTTTGAGTGTTCCTGTTCTAACTGCAGCCCCGGTCTCCTAATGTTATCCTTGGGAAGTAGGAGGGTAGCTGGTCTATGAAATCATCTGAAATCCCAGGTCAGCCTGAGGTTGGGGGAGGTGACAGGAGAGGAATGGGACTGAGGAAGCTGGTGTCCAAAGAGCCCCGAATTGCTGAGGGGCTGTGGTTTGTCACTGAGCTCAGGGAAGGGGGCTGGGCGGGAACCCCTCAGCTGGGACCCCTCATGGGCATCTCCCCATGAAGGAACCTCCCCACCCCCAACACAGCAGGATGTGTGGCCTGCTTTCATCCAGCTCTTTCCCTGGGGAACCCAACCAAGCTCCATACTCTGGATATACCCACAGGGTACTGCAGGCCCTGGACAAAGGACAAAGACCTGCTGGCAGGGGCAGGGCCAGTAGGGCCCCTCCCACCCCACCCTGCTGTGTAAGGGCCTGCAATACTGCTCAGTGCTGCTCTGGCAGCTGCCTCCGCCAGTGCCTGGTCACCTTCCCAGGATGAGCCTGGCTCTGGTTGGCTATGAAGCAGGACCCCACCGCCCCCCAGTACTGGCCATGCTTAGGGGGAGGGGTGAGGAGCTGTGGCAAGGCTGGGCCCTGCAGAGGGGCCCATGGCTTCAGAGGGCAGTTGGGCCCCTGCCCCAGCCTCAACTCTCAGCCCAGGTTGTAAGGAAACCAAGTCCTGATCCCCTAGAGGGGCCACAGAGGGGGCATCTTTGCCTGGGGACGGGAGTCAGGCAGGGAGGTCAGGGGAAGCCCCCCACAGCCAACAGGGAGCTGGGCTAAGTGAAACGGACTAACCTCACCAAATGTTGCTTAGTACCAATCCCGAGGAGACCTGCTTTGATGACTAGAAAAGAGTGCTTTGCAACCAGCTTCTCAGGTAGAGCCCACAATCAGGTCCTGTGATGAGGTTTAAAAATTATAGAATTATAGACTGCTTTTACTTTCAATATTCCTCGTCAAAATGCAGCCCTGCTCAGATCTGCGGGGAACCTGCTTTAATGTAGAGTTGAACTTGCTTTGCAATTAGCATATAGCAACTGTTCCTGTACCACTGGGTACTTCTAAAGTGCCTGAAAACAGTTTGCTCTCTTCTGAGTTGTGAACACACCCCGAACGAATGCTTGTTTACACCCTCGGGCTGTTTTGCAATACAAGATAAAGACAGCCTTCATTCCCAAATACTAGTGCAAAGGCAGCATCGAGACCACAGCCCATTCACCTTCTCAAAGCTCCCTGGGGCCAAGCTGACACTTGACAAGGCATCCCTGCCCGTCTTGGGGAAGGGCTAAAATTGGGAAGGAAATGCGTTTACGCTGGTTGTGGTTCGGAGGGCAAGTCTGTTCCCAGCCAAACTCCTTGAGTCAGCAGATGGACTAAAATAAGTCAAGCCTCTCACGCTGTTGGTAGGATCGTGAAGTGGTACAACCTTTGCGGAGGGCAATTCAGCAATAGCCTAAAAGAAAATGTACATCCTCTTTGGCTCAGCACTTTCACTGCGAGGAATTTATGTACAGATGTACTTGCCCGAGTGAGCAGAGATGCATACCCAAGGAGTCCATTGCTACATTATTAGTTATGTTGAAAAATCAAAGCAACCTCCATGCCCGCCAATAGGGGACTGTTTTGATAGATTTGGGGTGAGCCACGTGATAAAGCTCTAGGTAGATCTCTGTGCTGATACAGAGACATGTCCAACTGTGCTCAGTGGGAAAAGCAAGTGTCATGTGAAAAGCATATCATATATATGCTGTACACACAGGGAGCATATCTAGGCCATAGCAAGAAAACCGCGGACAGTGATTACCTCTTTGGAGGGGGCCCAGGTAGAGGAGGAGGAGGAGGAAACTTTTAAATATTTTTTTAACTTGTACATTCTTGTGTGTGTAATTTAGAAAGTTTAAAATTTAAAAATGTCAGATGAGGATTCACATTTCTCTAATTCTCGCCTCGTTTTTCTCTCCATGACTCGTATGTGTGAGATCACTTCTAGAGGCTCTGCCCATCTCTCAGGGGATGAGTGCGGCTTTTTATTCATTTATTTTTCACTGTGGTAAAACATATGACATAAAATTTGCCATTTTAACCATTTTTAAGTGTACGCTTCAGTGGCATTAATTATGCTTACATTGTTGTGCAACCATCACCACTATCTATTTCCAAAAGTTTTCATCACTTGGGCTCCTGGTGACCTCGAACTCCGTGGCATGGGGTCTGTGAAGGGCCTGCCCTCCCTTTTCAGGGAACAAGCTGCGGCCAGGGCGGTACAGCTGTCCCCAGTGGGCGTGGATGAGGACCCTCTCTCTCCCCTGGTGCTGCCTCAGCTGTAGCGCCTGGCCTTACTTCTTGTGCTCTGGGCCCACTTGGGGAAGAGGCAGAGGGCTCTCTTTGAAAGGAGGTCCCCTGACCTTCCGTGCCTCTGCAGGTCACTGAGGGTCTGGCTATGGGGCCTGGGTAAAGGTGGCTTCCCGTCCTGCCTGGCCTTCCCTCTCTGGGCCTCAGTTCCCTGTCAGGAGGAGCAGTGGGAACGGGGCCTCATGTTGGCTGCCTCTCTGCCCTTTCAGACATCACGGCTGCTGCCCTAGCTACGGGCGCCTGCATCGTGGGCATCCTCTGCCTTCCCCTCATCCTGCTCCTGGTCTACAAGCAAAGGCAGGTGGCCTCCAACCGCCGTGAGTATCCCGGCCCGCAGGGGTGGGTAGGGGGTGTGAGTTACCTGCCCCAGCCCCAGCTCAGCCTCTGGCATTAGCAAAGGCAAGAGGCAGGCGCAGTTCCTCTCTGTTCCAGAGATGGGAGTGGCTACAGTCCCTGCAAGGAGCTGGGCTCAACGGCAGAGAGAAGATGGGACCCAGGCCCCCAGGTGCTGTTTCTGGGGCCTGACTGCCCACCCGCCCCAAGCAGTGCTGGCTTGGCACTCAAATATCTGTTGAGTGAAGAAATAATCATATGGAGTAGTTCACATTGGTTTATAAAAATGCTGCCACTGGGAGATCCTGTGGGGATCGACTTTAAGGTATGGGTGGGTTTATTTTGTAATTAGTATGGCAATCTTGGGGCAAAAACGACCTCTGGATTATCAGAACTGGGAGGGCCCATGGCGATAACTTAGTTCAACTCGTTCCTTTTACAGCTGAGAAACCTAAAATCAGCAGGGTTAAATAACTAACCGAATGTCACAGAACTCAGTAAGTGGCACAGCTGGGACTCAAACTCAGAGCTTTCAACTCACGCTTTTTCCAGGGAATATAATCCCACCGTTTAATTAAAATGTGCGTCAGTATGCGTATCGCAGCCAACAACCCCTAACCGGGAGGGTTGCTGTGCCAGGTACCATGCCAACCTGTTACACACATTCTCCACTTATTCCTCATAACAACTCGACGAGTTTCTTCCTACCATTGTCCCCATTTTACAGCTGGGCAAACTGTGCACAAAGAGGTTCAATAACTCGCTAAAAAAACTGCACAGCAAGTAAGTGGTGGAGCCAGGCTTCAAGTCATGGCCACAAACACCTTTTCACCCTCCTCTGCAGATGAAAGTGCCCCTTGTCCTCCCTCTGACTCCACCCATGAGTGTCAGGCAGTCTGAGTCCTCCAGGAGCAAGAGGCCGGGGAGTCCTCTGCCCTTGGCCCTTGCATCGCCTCCCCCGCCTCTTCCCCTCTGCCTGGCTGCAGACAGTAACTGAGGGAAGACTGCTCTGTCACCAGCTGGCTTGTGGCTCACACCTGATTTCCTTTGGCTGGACCATAACAACTTGACACCCCTCCCTGGGGCCCAGCGTGGAGCCCCTCAGTGTGCCGCTCAGGGGCTGTGGCCACTTTTCCCTTACTCTCAGGATGCCCATATTCCTCTCACAAAACCCCCCAGCCTCCCTACAGAAATGCCCTGAGGTTGGGTGGGGTGAGGGGCAGGTGAAGGCGTTAGAGCAGAAAGAGGAACCCAGGGGCTCAAGCAGGCAGAGGAATGGCTGCAGAGCTGCTGTCAGCTCCTGCTCATCTGTGTAGCATTTCCACGAGGTCAGGAAGGGATGAGGAGTGAGACATGCTCCTCTAGGCTCTGCTCCCAGGTGAAGAGGTGCTCTCTGTCCCCCTTACTCCAGACCACAACACTGCCTCCATCAGGGAACAGGAGCTAGAAAACAAATTTGGGGCAGAGGATGGCGAGGGGGTTGTTCCTGTTTTTGTTGCCTCACGTCCTTCCTCACAGGGTCCCCAGAGGTGAGTCTAAGGCTCTGCCCATGTCCCAGGCTGGAGAAAGGAAAATCAAAGCAGGGACATCCCCAGGTCAGAACATTGTGGGGCTGTCTGGAGTGCCAGCCCCCAGTCTCCCCTACTCCATGCACTGGGACACCTTCAGTGTGAAAACTTCCCAGAGGAAGGGACAAAGGAACTGGGCGCTTGAGGAGCTGGCCTGAAAGGGGCAGCAAGTGGCTGCAGTGGGCGGGCTAGGGCTGCACTTTGAGCAATGGTGAGCACATCCTCAGAAACTGACGAACCTCATTTCTGTGGTGGGCAGCCACTCCATAGCACCTTATCCCCAGCGTTAACATATGCAGGAACAGATCAGTGTCAATAACTTATCTCCTAATAAAAATACTTTTAAGGCCAGTCCCTCCTTCCCTTCCAAAAAAAAGCAGCAGAAAAAATGAATTGTCTGATTGAAGTCTTAGAGACAGACACAAGAGATGCCGGAGGGGATGACGTTAGAGAAACCAGGTGCCAAATGGAGAGTGAGCAGAGATTTGGGTCATTTTTCTTGATTTAGACTCTAGGGAAGCAGCTGCTGGAATAAAGGGAGCAGAAGTCACCTGGGAAATGCCAGGAGTCCAGCGACAGGGTAGACGCTGAGCAGATCTGGAGCCCTGAGCGGGGCGGCAGGTCGGGGATGGAGTGGACAGGGAGTGTGTGTTGGTGCGCCCGGGCAGGGCGCTGGCACGGAGCCTGGCACGGAGGGCGTGCTCAGGAATGAGTCACATTCAGGAATCAAGAAAGAGAAAGGGTTGGGAGCCCTGAGGAAGGCAGTTGGCCGCAGAGGCCAATGGTTGTGGAACCTATCCAGTATTAGACGGAGACTTGGTTTCCCCAGCTCTAAAGTGGGACCAACAATCCTTACCCCAGAGGGTGGGAGAGGATGAGCTGAGGGCACGCAAAGCACTCGCAGGAAGCCCAACGCACAGAGTCACCCGGTAAACAGTAGCCATGAATCCGATACCGTGGAGATTTCAGGAACTTGTGTGCAACTTCCCCTGTGTGTTCTGTTGTTGTGCCCTCCCCCACCATCTGTTTCCCCATAGTAATCAGCAGCAGAGCTCTTAAAATGAGAAGGATCTGTGGGAGTATATGGAGAGCTGCAAGAAAGAGGGAAGTAGGGCCTGCTGCATCTGGTGGGTGGCCAGGTTGGGGGATGGGGAACCCCAAGAGTGGGGCAGGGCAACTGCAGCGTGGATGAAGACAGAAAGTAGTGGGATGGCTGAGCAGTGCTGGGGCTTCGGGCCCCCTAAGGTTCCTCTAAGAGATGTCACCTCTAAAGGCACCCTATTAGGCAATGTGAAGGATGGGACAGAGAGGACCAAGAACCCTCTACTTAGGAACTGACCTTGCAACACTCCTACCCAGTAAATCATGGCTAAAGACCAGGACGTGCAAATGTCCAAACCAGAAGCAGCGAACGCAGGAGCCAGGCCTTTGGTTGACCCTTAACCCTGAAGGTCCAACACTGTCTGAGTCAAGCCACAGGAGAAAGCCGCGGCTGCCTCTGGTCTCCTGCAGACAGATGTTGTCCTACACACTCGTCAGATGCAGCCGGGTTTCCTTTATCACCGGTCAAAAAGGGCCGCTCATTGAGGCCTCACCTGTGGATAATCATGCAGAGCACTGCCATACAGGCCTCCCAAGGGAACAGAAGTGGGCTCCAGGGCTGAGCCTGGCCCTGCCTGGGGGCATCTGCCAACGGGGGCAGGGATGTTGTCTGCGGAAGCCTTCCCTTTGTGACTAGCTTCTCCGTCTGTCCCTCCCCAGGTGCCCAGGAGCTGGTGCGGATGGAAAGGTAAGACCCATGGAGACCTTCCCGAGAAAACTGCCCGCAGCTGGCCCCACCCCGCCTCAAAGCTTGACAGGCTCTCTCTCTCCTCGCCTCTCCCTCGCCTGTGGTTCTGTAGGGCAATATCTATGCCCCAACTGTGGCTGGAGTTAATGCAGAAAGGGGGAGGGGTAACTTTCAGCCAGGACAGACTGATTCTCCCGCTTCCCCAGGATCCTTTCCCCTCTCCTCCTTGGTAACTGGTTGTAGCACGACAAGGCTCAGAACACAGACGTGGCCTCCCTGGTCCTCCCTGTGCCCTGGGCCCGACAGGGCTCAGAACACAGACGTGGCCTCCCTGGTCCTCCCTGTGCCCTGGGCCCGACAGGGCTCAGAACACAGACGTGGCCTCCCTGGTCCTCCCTGTGCCCTGGGCCCGACAGGGCTCAGAACACAGACGTGGCCTCCCTAGTCCTCCCTGTGCCCTGGGCCGGCTGTCAGGAAGGAGATATTTCTGTGGGCCCCTGTTTAGCTGGCCAGCACAGCTGGTTGGAAGATGGCATCTGCCATCTGCCATGGAGGCCGACACATCTGTGCTGGCTGGCTGTTCTCCCTGCCACCCGTCACCCAGCAGGTTGAGCTGCTTGGATGAGCCATGCACCCACCTTCGGGCCTCAGTGGTCAGCTGGCCAGGATGGGGGAGGGGAGGAAGCAGCTGAGCTAGGGCAGATACTGAAACATGCAAAGGAGACCAGTGCACCTGGACCTGTGCCCCTCCCTGCAGGGCGCTCCAAGGGGAAAGCTGTCAGGCCACAAGGGCTCAGAGTGGGGCAGCAGGCGGGGATGAATTAGATAGGGGGTGTGTGGGGTGTGCTCTGGGTAGGAAGGTGGCATGCGGCCTGGCCCGGAAGGCACGCTCAGGAATGAGCCACACTCAGGAACTTGACCCCATACCTGCAACACCAAACCCAGAGCTGCTCTGGGTGTTTGAAAGGGATGATTTTCAAGACAGGTTGAGGGAAGTCCTGCTAGCGATCCTGCTAGAATCTCAGACTTGGAGGGGTCTTCAGAGGTTGTCCCACTCCCAAGCAGGAAGAGAAGAGAACCCCTCCCTTCAGCTCAAGACAAGCTGTGGGGACATTGGATCCTAATGCCATTAACTCTACTGACCAAAGAGAAACTTGTCCCCAGATTCCTGAGGCCGATGTCCCTGAAGTGCCTCTGAGCCAGGGCTTCCTGGCTGGGCCCAGGGCAGATGGTCAGATGCCCTCAGTCGGGGCAAGAGGGAGAGTGCAGCCCATGGCCTTTCTCTCTGGCCCTGGATCCTCCCTTCCTGCTGGGAGAGGCTGCTCAGGCCTGGGGAGGAGGCGGGGCAGGTGAAGGGAAGGGTGCTGAGAAGTGGGACAGGCGGGGAGGGCAGAGGTCCCACCCCAGGCAGCACAGGTGACCTTCAGTTCTGATTCTTTGGCAGCAACACTCAAGGAATTGAAAACCCCGGCTTTGAGGGCTCTCCACCCTCGCAGGGGATGCCGGAGGCCAAGCCCAGGCCCCCACTGTCATACGTGGCCCAGCGGCAGCCGTCAGAGTCTGGGCGGCACCTGCTCTCGGAGCCCAACACTCCTCTCTCTCCACCAGGCCCCGGGGATGTCTTCTTCCCATCCCTCGGTGAGTGCTCCCAACCCTCGAAGCACCATGCCAGGCAAGGTCATGACCTCCCCAAGGCCTGCAGGGCATCAGCCTCACTCCCCACCCTCCCTGGGGAGTCCTCCCAGCCTCCTGGTGTGGGGTTGGGGGTGAAGGGCAGAGGAGCCTCCCATTCACTCTGCTTCTCCTTTCTTTTGCAGAACCTGTCCCTGACTCTCCAAACTCTGAGACTGTCTAGGGTGCCAGTGAGCAGTTGCGGCTGGGCCTGGGGCAGGTGCATTTGAGCCAAGGCTGGCCCTCTGAGTGGTCCCTTGGCCTCGGCCTTGATTTCCTGCCTCCTGCTCTGAGCCCAGACTCTTTGAGATACCCCTAATGGCTAGACCCTAAACCCCTCTGGATGCTACATGGCAGAAGGGAGAAGGTGTTGGATGGCTCAGCCCCTGTTTCAAGGATGATGGGGTGCTAGGATCCCACCTCAGAGACCTCAAATTCATCAGCTACAGATGCCAAATGATCTAGAAGCCCCCAAATTTCCAGCTCTATGGCAGCCTCTCTCCCTGGGATATGAGCCTTGGGACCTGACGGCATAGATGGGACAAGATGGGCACTGGGTAAACCCCCCAGTGGCACCCTCCCAGGCATGAGACATAGATGTCTCAGGACAAGATGTGGAGGGACTCCTCCCCACTGTGGTGGACCCGGCTCCCCCATCTCTCCTGAGGCTGCCCCTCTGTCAGACTCACTCTTTGTAACCATGGGACTCTGGGGCTGGGCCTGCCTGCTGCTGGGCCATGGGAGCGTTCCCCAGCTGCCTGCTACTAGCAACCTCTCTGAGGAGCTGTCAACAGGTTAAGCAAATCTGGGGCTCCCACTGCCTGCACTCTGGTCCCCAGAGTTCACTGGCCAGAGGCCCCGAAACAGGAAGTACACACTGGGGCACGGTGGCCACTGTGAACCAACTGGCATGTTGGGCAATGGAGGCCAGGCCGGAGGTTGCACTGCCCACCGCAGATGGGGGTGAGGGAGGGTCGGTGGGGCCTTCTGGGAAGGTGAGTGGAGAGGGCTCCACCTCCCTGCCCTCCCCATCCCCCACCTCCACTGCTCACTGTGGTCAAAAGAGAGGGTGACCACATAATGTACTGTTCCAACTGTGACACTTCTGAGTGTGAAGAGGGGGTGCTATTAAAAACTACATGGGCCACAGATGCAAACCCTGTGGATGGATGTTAAGAGCTGAGTTAAATCCCTACTCTGCTTCTGAGGTGCCTGAGGCCTAGGGGCCCATCCTCCCCCACCCCCAGTCTGTGCTCTTCCCTTCCAGTCAGTCTGTGCTGAGTCTTCCCTGCAGAGTGACCTGTCAGGTGGGAGGAGCGGGGCGTGTACATGGAAGGTTTGTGCCCGCTCTGCTCTGGACCCTCTGCTCCCATCTCCTGCTTCAGGGCGTGACCTGATTTGTTTTTATACACATACACAAGGAGAGCCCTTTGTGGAATTTTGATTAAAGGGTTTTAAAGCATGGAGAGGAGTGGGGTAGGGGGTTGTCTCTGTACACTATGGGGTAGAAACAGGGGAGGTGGGCCCGAGATGGGGAGGGGCGAGTTAGAGCTGGGCAGGAGCCCCGGGCACTGCACTGCGAGGGCACAGTTTCAGTTGGGCATTCATCTGCCAGCAGCCTACATTGGCTCTGCTGAGCTGGGCCAGGGTGCTGAGAGCCAGGGCTTCAGGCCAGGATAAGGGCCCAGCAGCCAGGGAGAAGCCCCCTGATCACCTGGGGCGGGGAGGGGACAGGAGTGGGGGTGGAAGAAAGGAGCAGCTCCAGCCTCTCTGGCAGCAGTGAGCCCCCAGGCCTGCAGCTGGAACCAGGGAGCCCCCCAGATGCACGGCATTGCTTCCAAGCTCACTTGTCAGGCCCGAGGGCATGCATCAGTGTGGGTGTCCTGCTGTGCCTGGGGGCCTTGAGGAGAGGGGGAGCACACTGACACCTCCAGCGGCCAGAACACCAAAACCCTGGCTCCTGCTTTGTCTCTGGTCGTCCCCTCTTCTATTTCATCTGCGGCCATGGACACCCAGCGCCACTTGCCACAGAAAGAGGGTGCTGTTCTCACAGCTCCTGGGGGCCCACAGGGCAGGGATGGGCCCGGTGACACCTGCTCGAGGCAGGGCTGGTTTACCCCTAGAGTTGAAGGACAAGCCCACAGACCAGACTCCCCGTCTGCCAGCTCAGACAGAGTGCTCCTGCCCTATGGGGAGGCTGGCCTGGCCCAGCCCTCAGCTTCTGACCTCGAGGAGAGACAACTTCTAAGAATTTGGCGGCCAGACCCCAGGCCCGGCTGTTGCTGTGTGGAAGGAGGAGGAGGCCCTAGAGCAGAAAGCCACCACACTTCCTCCCCAGCTTCCTCCTGCACTGCCTCCAGCTCTTCTTCTCTGGACCCTCACAAGTGAACGCATCTCAGCCTCGTGGTTTCCTGTTTTCAGTGAAATTTACTTTGAGCTCCAGGCTCCATCTTCATCCATGACCACATGCCCCGCCCCCAGCGGCTCTGAGGGCGCCCTCCCTGCTGCTCCTGGGGAGGGGCAGGGTGCCAGAGTAGCCCTCCATGCTCGCCCTGGGGTGGTGGTACCTCTAGAGATGCCAGCCGTGGTGACTGGTCCCTATGGGCCCTGGCTCAGCACCTGTGGACTAGGGTGCATGGAACAGAGTAGGGGAGCAGGAACATGGGGTCTGCCTTCAAGGGGGCCAGGTGGAGCCTAGAGCCTCCAGGAAGTTGGCTGCTAGGCAGGGTGGGACCGAGGTGGGAAGCTCATGGGTCATGGCACTATCTGAAGTCCTGAGAGGGAAATCTGTGCTTTTAGGCAGTAATTCATGTTGAGAGATCAATCAGGAACTATGGCTGGGTAACCCATCTCCGGACATTCTCATTTAATAAAGACCTGCTGTCTTGATTCTCTCCAAGGAGGAGGCAAGGGCAACAGAATTGACACTCCCTGAAAACATGTACGGAGGCCACTGGAGAGGCTGCTGTGGGGTCACACTGGCCCTGCCTGGGGGGGTCTGTGGTGATAGGCACTGGGGGTAGGCGTGCAGGAACCCCAGGACCTGCTTCTCAAAAGCCCGACCCTGGGGCTGCACTCACTCCTGCCTGGCCAGAGCTCCCTCCTACACGCAGCAGCCTGGGGCAGAGGGACTGACAGTTGCCTTCTTCAGGGAGTGCTTTGGGGTGGGGGACCTCGGGAGGACGTGGTGGGGCTGGGGGCTGCAGAGGTCCTGTCACCCTCCACCCCAGCTTGGGCACTGTAGTCTTGCCTCATGGAAGAGGCCTTCCTGAGTGTCCGCTAGAGCACTCCACGGCTGGCCTGACTGTGCTCGGGGCTAAGATTTGCTCAGGGAACCCCAAGGGAACGGCAACGGGCAGAGAGAGGACCTAGGGTTGCCAGCCAGGATGCTGGCTGCAGATACCTCCTGAGAAGCAGACACTCACAGCCCAGCCGAGTGTCTGTCCTAGCCCACAGAGAGCACTGACTGTCTGGCCCCTTCACCGGACATTCACTGTACCCTGCTTTGCACTGTCACCTCTCAGGCCTGCATGACGCTGTGTCTCCCTAACTCTTCTGTGAGTTCCAGGAGGGCAGGGGTCCAACAACAGCCTGCCTCACGGACCTGGTTGCACAGCTGACAGTCGACCCATAGTCAGTGGGGTGGGCTGAACCAGGATGCCAGGGTTCTGTTCTCTGGACCACTCACAACTGGCAGGGCCACCTCTGACCTCCCACCAGCTCTAGTTCCTAGCAGCTTCCTCTGGGCCTGGTGGGATCTCAACAGTGATAATGCCCTGAGCTTGTGCAGGCCAGGAGGCAGAGGTGTCATTTTGTTTTGCAATTCTGCTCCATTGGCATGGCTTCCTGGAATATACATTGAGAGAGATTCTCAAGTATCAATAGAACTCAATGAGAAAGCGCTGAGAGTGGCTAGCAATGTCTGCCGTGGGGACAAGATAGGGAAGTGGCGGTATGTGTGCCCTATCTTTTGCCTTTTCTGTTATAATACTCTGCACTTGCCAAACCACTTTCACATGTGTTACTACTTCTTTGATTCCTCCCTCCCTCAAAACACCTGGGGACGCTTTATTGACCCCATTTAATGCATAGGGAAACTGAGGTTCCAAAAGGTTCGTGTCTTGTCACAACAGGTGAATGTGAAACTGGGACTACAGCCTGGGTCTCCTGCTTCCCAGGTTCTGTGCTCCTTCCTCTTCACTGAATTGAGTGGCATTATAGGCCAGGACTTGGACTTGCTCTCAGTACACACCAGGGCCCTTGGAGATGAACCTGTGCCCGCAAGCCCACGGCTCCATGCCTTTCACATGAGTTCTTGCCACTGCCCTTTCTGCCTGGCAACCCTGAAGCCACAGGACTCCTGGTAGGCATGGCGGCCCATGCACCCCACTTGCTTGCAGCAGGGGATGGGGAAGGGAGAAAGTCTCAGCTGACCACAGAGCCCCCGGGTCTCTTGGAGGAACTGAGCCAGTTGCCTGTGTGGCATTTGAGCAGCTGCAGAACCTCCCTCCAGAAGCAGGGCTAAGGGAAGGGTCTGAATTTAATCACGCTGGGCCAGAGAAGCTGGCGTACTTGGTGTGCAGCACAGGGAAGGGGCCGGGCGGGGGTTTCCTGAGCTGGAGCCAGGGGAAGCAGGCTTCACAAAGAGCAGCAGGTCCAAGTTGAATAAACAGAAGAGCCCTTGGCCCTAAGGATATGAGGTGAGCTGCCAAGAGCAGTGTCCCCAGCTCACAGGCTTTCATGGGGCGATTGCTGGTGACTCCTGAACCAGAAGCGGGTGGTGGGAGATTTTCTGTCCTGCCTGGACAGGTGACTTCTGCAGGTCCCCGCCAGCCTGAGAAGCCAGGGCTGGTTACCTGGGACTGTCTAACCTGCTGGCTGTGATTCGCACAGCAGGGAGGCCGCGGTCAGGCCCTCCCTCTCTCCATCCCCCTGCCAAGGTGCCTCTGTGGCTGGGGCTCAGCTCCTGACCTCCCAGTGGCCTTCCGTCCTTCCTCCCTGGGCCCAGCCCTTCCCCTTGCAGGGGCCTCCCTGACAGCCACTTAGACCCTTCCCCCAAGCCTGGCCTGCCTGCCTGTGGCCTGGAGCTAGCCAGAGGGCTGAGGCTGTACAATGACCCCCCCGGTTGGGTGGCACACCATTGTGTGACAGGCTGGGACTGGCCCTGATGCCCCTTGCAGCACAGCTGTTCTGAGCTCCAGGTGATATGGGGCTGAGAGCTGGGTGGGGACGGCCTAGGCTGTTTGCAGGAATGTCCGGCTCTGAGGAAACTGCAGGGAGGGCGGCCCAGGGAGAAAATAAGAGATGGGAAGGCTCAGATATAGGATTTCTCTTGGTTTTTGGGAGGATCTTGGGAGCCGAATCCCATGTCCTCTGTTCAGAGAGCCTCATCCTTTAAGACACGGATGCAAATGATGCTAGGAGCTCCTGGCTCTGAGCTCCTAGCACCCTATCACATCACAGAGTGTCAACTCTCTGTTACATGTCCATTTGCCCCGCTAGACTATAGGCTCCTTCAGGGCAGAACCGTGCCCAATTCATTTCTGACTTCCTAGCCTCCAGCACAGGCCTGGCATGTGTTTGGCGTTGAATGAATGACTCTTACTTGCCCTTGTCTTACAGGAAGGTTGGTCCTGTGCCAGCCAGGGCTGGCTTAAACCAGGCAGATGACTGCAGGTGGGAAGAAGAGGACAGCGTGTGGGTCTGTCTGCTGGGCGTCTCTGGACGGATATGTGCGGGGTGGCACCCACCCTCCTCATCCCCATTAGACCATGGTGACCTTTCTCGGGACCTCAGGATGACCAATCTGGTGCTGCTCAGGGCTCTGGCTGGTCCAGGAGGGGTTGGTACGATCCTACTTGCTCGAATACCCATCCAGTGCAATCTGCCCAATAGTAGAGAAGAGGCCCCCTCTGGTCACCTCTGGCTTGGCCCTCAGTTTTGTGCTTGGGGTCACTCATGATCTTGGGGGGTTCCCTGTTCAGAGGTGACAGTCTGGTCAGTGGAAGCAAATCTTCAAGGGTCCATGGCTCCTTGGAGGCAAATGTCAATCACGGCTGGGCCCTGCCTGCAGGGCCCTAGCTTGCCAGCTTCTGCTCCAGCCCCACCCTGGCTTAGCTGGGCCAGGAGGCAGAGGAGGGGGCGTTTGAGAAAGTAGTGGGGCCAGCCCTCGGGGCCTGCCTCAGACAGAATGTCGAGGGGAAGAGTCATAGAGAGAGCCCTGCTCTCAGCTCTGAATGCTGCCATGGGCCTGAGCTACCTGCGGCTCTCCCATCCCAGCCCTGATTATCACTTGCTCTTAGGCCTTTGTTCAGGCTGATCCCCGGGTCCAGAAAATGCTTTCCTCCCTTTCTGTACTAACTGTGCCTGTCTGACAAGACAGCCCAAGTGTCACCTCCTCCAGGAAGCCTTCCCCAAGCCCTTCTCAGTGCTCCTCAGTGTCCCATCTGCCCTGGACCCTGCACACGGGTGTCCTCAATGCCTCCCTTACTCAGCTGCATTGCATCGTGGCAGGGACCCCAGTGCCTTCATCTCTGTATCTCTGGTGCCTGGACACAGTGGGCATTCGCGGGACACTGGCTGAATAAATGAATGAATGGACGGATGGACAAACAAATACAGTCTAGTGTTGGTTCTCAACCATGCTCCTGTGGTCACGGCAGCTCTTCACTGCGGTGTCTCCTAACAAAATCAAATAAGAGACCTTTTCCCAATCCGAAGAAGCAGAAAAAAAATTGCATAGATTCTTTTTGACTTAAAATTTTTCTCCTATGAATCTTTTTCCAGTTGGTACTTGGATGCTGCTTGTCTATATTGTGGTATTACAGCCCAGGAGCCATACCCATAGGCCCCTGCTGATGGCCTCAGGGAACCCCCTCCCTGATCCTGGTCATCCTGAAGGTGTTTTCTGGGACTGGAGCTGGTGATGACCAGGATGAGGACGGGAGAGAAAGGGAGACTGCATTTCTCACCACCCAGCTTCCCACACTGTTACTAGGGGGCTGATACAGGCTGACATCTGCTTCAAGGAGGGCCAGGATGTCAGGGACCCGTGTGAGGAGGCAGTGCTCACAGGTCTCCACTGGGCTAGACTGGGTCTCTACAGAGGGTCTGGTCAACAGATGGTCACTCTTTCTGGCCATGGGGACCAGCCTCAAGTTCTGCAGGGACCTTCTGGGTAGCTAAATGTGGCTAGGGTGATTTCTCATTTCTCCAATTCCCATTTCTTCTGGGGACCAAAAGGAAGCCAGATGTTGCCTCCAAAACTCAGGGTCTTAGAGTGTCCTGGGTCTCACCGACTGCCTTCCTGGGAGGGAAGGCACTAGACTGTAGGGCTGTGGGGTGCGGGGGAGGGTGGGGAGTGAGAGGGAGAGTGGTGTGTTCCCTAGCCTCGGTCGGGATGAGGAAGAGCAGTAGGGCAAATGCTATTGTTGCCCACCCAAAATCTATTCTCCACCTCTTCCTCACCCACAGAGCCTTGCTTCTGTTTGATGCAGTGATGTATCTGGCCTCCAAGTAATAAGCCAATCCTGACAATCCTCTTCCTCATTTTGTCCAACCTCCCTTGCAGCTAGGGTGCCCACAGGAACCTCTTCTGGCCAATGAGATGTAAGCAGAACTCTGAAGAGTAGTTCTGGAAAACCTTTTGCTTTCCTGATAAAGGGGCAGAAGTGGCTTGCATAGTTCTTTGTCTTTCTGTCATTTCCTGCCTTGAATGCTGAAATGATGGCTGGAGCTATAGTAGCCATCTTGCAGCCATGAGGGAAAGGCCAAGAAGCATTAGCTCTGACATCACTGAGCACGAAATCAACCTTTGTAATTTTCTCCAGAATTTTTATGTGAGAAAAATGCATTCAGATTTATTTATAACTCCATAGTTAAGTTTCTATTACTTGTAGCCAAACACATCTCTAAATGCTATTGGAAAGATGACCAAAAAGATGATTCATCCTGAAGCTAGATGCAGTTAGGCAGGGGTTATGTCAACACTGAGTCCCTCCATGTCATCACAATAATGATACCTCTCCCTATCCCCAACTCAGTTAGTCATATGTGTCCTGTAAATGTCCCTGTTTGGCCCACCGGGTCAAAGGGCTGAGGTGATAAGTGGTGACACTGGGCAGCCACAGGGTGGAGGATGCCCAGGGGGTGCCCAGAGCCAGTCCCACTTCCTGGCCCAATTCCACCACCCTCCCCAGAGACACTCCAGATGAAGAGCCCAGCCAAGACCTGCTCTGACCCCACAGTCCACAGAGCCATTGCCACAGGGGAGAGGTTGAACAGAGTTACCTGTTGAGGGCAGAGGGATGGAGCTGAGGCTTCATTTACAATCAGGGTCCCTAGGTAGACAGATGACAAAAATGTCCCCAGTGCTCTACACCTTCCTGTATCCACACTCTTTGCAATGTGACTTTGCAGCTCATTCCTTCAAAAGACAGAGTTTATTCCCCCACATCGTGAACGTGGGCTGGTCTTGTGACCTGCTTTGACCAACAGAATGTGGCAGAAGTAATCTTGTTCCAGTTCCAAGCCTGGGCCTCAAGAGGCCCTGCCTGCTCCTGCTGTCTCTCCTGGACCCTTTCTAGCTCCACGTGAACAAGCATGGAGCAGCCTTCTGGAAGAGGAGAGATACGTGGCCAGCTGCCCCATCACCCTAGCGGATAGGCAGCTGACCCCCAGTAGCACAGCCATCCAGCCGACACACAGCTGCCTCCCCACACACATGCAGCCCAGGGGAGAGCAGAAGAACCACCCAGCTAAGCCAGGTCTAAACGGCCAGCCTGCAGAATTGGAACTAAGTCAATGGTTGTTTTCTGCCTCTCTGTTTGGTTTGGTTTGTAAGGCGGCGTTATTCTGACAATGGATACCTGATACAATCCTCCTCCTCATGGTTTACCAAGCGCTTCCACAGACATGAGCTAATTCAATTCCCCAAACCACCTACGAAGCAGATATTATCTCCCTTTTGCAGATGACAAAACCAATATTCTGAGAGGTTCTGACATGCTCACAATCATGCAGCCAGCTCGCAGTGCTCCTGACTTCAAATTCTCCATTCTCAACTTGCAAACTGCTCCCACGGCAGCCCATCACCCCCTGACCATCTCACCATCCAGCCCCACAGGCCCCCACCTCCTCCTCTGACCTTGCAAACCTTGCACATTGCCTTGGGCAACAGCCCCGCCCATTCAAGCATCAGACTAGACCACGGACCTTAGTCCCTTCCAACCCTCACATGTTGCAACAGCGTGTCACACCAACATGATGTGGCGGGGAGGCAGAGAGCACCTTTTCCTATCTGGCAGAGACATCACCATATGGGTTAGCACGGCCCCACAGACGTACAGCTTGGCAAGTGGAGTGGGGGCTTGCCAGGCCCCGAGGTACAGGCTCAATCTGTACCATCCCATAGAGCTGCTCCGTGCGAGCAAAGAGGGCTAAGTAGTGGCCCCGAGTAGCTGCAGACGTGGGTGAACTAGCACCCTAGCTTTGCACACACAGGCCCTCCAGAAATACTTCACGGACTAAAGGTTTGACAAAGGAGCTGTCAAGGATTCAGCCATGGCGTGGTATTCCACTCCCGCCCGTCTTGTTCCCCTCACACAGAAGGCAGAGCTGCCCCTCATTCACCCTCCCCTCCCCGCGGCCGCCCCGTCACTCACTGACAGGGTGGGGGTGCCCTCGTCCTCCACGGTGACCACCAGGTGGTAGAAGCTCTGGCGCTCGCGATCCGGCGGGGCAGGCCGCGTGGCGATCTCACCACTAATGCGGTCCATGCGGAAGGTCACGTCCTCATTGCCCTCGGTGATGTAGTAGGACAGGACGCTGTTGATCCCGATGTCACGGTCGGTGGCTCTCACCTGGACCACAGCAGTACCCCCGCCCACGTTCTGGGGGGAGAGCAGGAAAGTGGTCATTCAGATTCAAGGCCTTTGGGGCAAAGTCTAGCACCTGCTCCTGGGAGCCCAACGGCTTCACCTGGACCTCCAGAAAGCTTTGCTCTGTCTACCCTGGAGCAGTGATGAGGAGAATAAAGATGATGGTGGTGAACATTCTCTGGGCACCTACTACATGTTGGGGTCCGCATTAACTCATCAAATCCTCTCTCTCCTCCATGAATTAGGAACTGGTGTCATCCCCATTTACAGATGAGAAAAGTGAGGTGCAGGGAAGGAATGTGTGCAGGTCACACAGCCGGTCAGTGGCAGAGCCAGGGTCTGAGTCGAGGGATGCTGGCCTAATTGCTGGCCTCTAAACCCCTACGCATCCTGCCATCACAAACGTCCAGCCTGGCATGATACTCAGCAGTGCTGGGGGAAAAATTCTCCCGGACTGGCTCAGTCTTAGGACTGAATAATAAATGCGTTCTTTTATTTACAAGTAGCTCTCCCAGGGTAAACTCGGTTCCCTGTTAGTGGCGAAAGGCCACTTTCTTCTTTCACTCTCCTCTTCAGCCCACCACAAAAAGATACTGCAGTCCAGGCCCTAGCCTGGGTGTAACGGAGATAATTATGAACGAGTGAGTCACCGTCCCCATCCCTGAGACCCGAGAGACTAGTGGGCCAGGCAGACACTTAAATGGTGCTTCATGGTCGGCTCACGCCCACTGTCAGCCTGGACGGGCACCCGGGCTGCCCTCACCTCGTTCACGCTGACATTGTATCCAAAGGGGCTCTCAATCACCGGCGGGTTGTCATTGACGTCCAGGATGGTCACCTGCAGGAGGTGGTCCTTCTTCCGTGGAGGGGTGCCACGGTCGGATGCCACAACCTGTAAGGAAGGGATGACTGGACTCAGGGTGGAAGGGTGGGCAAGGGTCAGGAAGATGGGGTCCCAAAGGGCTGTCTGCCTGGTGGGAGGACTGGGAGGGCAGAAATCTGGCCCATCCCTGCCCCTGGGGGCCTGTCAGCCCCAGGGTCTCCCCAAGGCCTTCACCTTCTGCCTCATGCTGCGAACAATCGTTGCCCAATTCTTGTCTGACTTGGGACCCTCTTTTGCTATCTGACTGTGGTGCGCTCAGTCTTTACCTCCTAATCCTACCCCCCAGCCTCCCGACTGTATTCTGGGCTGTGCCAGCCCCTGACTGTGACTCTGGGCCTGTGATCAGACCCAAGGCCCTTGCCTTTAGCTTCAAAGACCTCTGTTCCACGCACTCGGATCTGGTCTCTGGCAAGCAGAGAAAGAGCCTCGAATAATCAATCAGCTAGAGTCCTAACCACAGCCTGAGCCTGTCCCTAGGAGCCTTGATGCTTCCTGGATGCCTGCAGGGCAGCAGAAAGTGCTCTAGGAGCTCAGGCCCCCGCAGAAGCACAGCCCTGGGGTCCCCAGAGACCCCCCCCAGGAAACACGCCAGCCACAGCAATTCAGCAATCATGGTGGCCTTCGTGACTCTTCACACCCGCACTTACTTCTCACCTCAGCAGAGGTAGGCCAGGTTTTTCTGCCCATTGCACAGGAGGGGAAACGGAGGCCCAGACAGAGTAAACAACTTGCCCAAGGTTGCACTGCGTTTGTGGAAGAGTCAGGGTTCTCTCCGCTCCACCAGGCTTTCTCTCCCGGCTCTTACAGCAGGGACGCACACCTCCTCTGCTTCCTGCTCTGGGTCCAGAGACCCCCGCAGGACGCCCTCTCCCGGGAGGGCCTCACTCATGCTCTTGGCCCTGAGGCGTGCTGCCTGCCCCATGGAACTTGGTGACAGCAGGGAAGCTGACCGCCAGAGCATGCCGATGGGCCGAGCTCTCTCCTGGATAGTCAGCAGTGACCCTGAGGGGGGCTGGTCCCCACCTTGAGGACGTAGTGGTCCAGCTCTTCTCTGTCCAGGGGCCTGGCCACAAACACTTCGCCAATGGAGTCGTTGGTGGTGATGATCTCAAAGGCCCCGGCGATGTTGCCAGAGGCCAAGGAGAAGACCACCTGTTAGGGAAGAGAGAGGGTGAGGGGCGAGGCAGTGGGGAGGACGGGTGGCCAGGTCAGGCCAAGGGGCACTCCCCTGTGCACCTGGGCCCTCTGCTCAGCAAGGGCGTTTGAGAAGAGAGTGTTTTATGCAGCAGTGGTATGTCCCTCAAAATGGGGGTGGCAAGGCCACCGAGGCAGAGCAGGGCATCAGCATACTGGCCTAGGGACCAAGAGGGCGGGTGCGAGTCCCACCACACTGAGGTTTCCCAGGGTGGGGGTGGGGAGGGGCTGACACTCCTGGAGCTCCTGGCAGGAGCAGGGACGCGCCCTGGGGTTACATGGATCCTGTCTGGCCCTCATGAAAACCCTGTCAAAAGGGAGCTGTTCGCTTCAGCTCAGAGAGGAGGCTCAGAAAAGTAGAACAACTGGCGAAGGTCACAGCCTGCAAGTGCCCCAGAGAACAAGGATCTGGACCCACATGTGTCTAACTCCAAAGCCAGCATCTCTTGGCCCCCAGAGCTGTGCAAGCATTTTTTAAATGGTGGAAACCTCCTCAAACATACCACCCAATTAGTAGGACAGATCAAAGTGATGTGAAGACTGACATGCTGTCACCCTCTCCCCCTTGTGCTCTGGGGCTGTCTGGAGCGGTGGGGAGCTCTTCCTGCTGTGGGACGGGGCGAGAACCAGGAGGGAGGAGGAGCGTGTCCTCTCCGGGACCTGGGGCTGCGTGGGGCTGACTGGCCCACAGGGTGAGATGCTGTGTGGTTTGTGGATAAGGTGACAAAGGAGTCACCGGGAAAGCTGAACCCCTTCTGCTTTCAGTTCACTGTGGGGGGCTGAGCTGCGGCCGGCCTTCCGGCTCTGTGTTCACTTCACCCAGGCAGAGCCAACAGCTTGCACAGCTCTGCCCCCTTTCCCCGACCGCAGGCTGGGGTGAGGGCAGGGCAGTCCTGCTCGGGGCTGGGCAGAGCCTGGACGACCCCGCTTCCTGCTCAGTGATGGGGATGGCTCAGATGGCCCCTCCACCTGAGGGGCTGTGGGAGCCCCCTATTGACAGGGCAGATCTGGGCTATTTCACTTGGTGCCTACCTGCCCGTTGCTGCTGGCGTCGGGGTCCCGGGCCTTGACGGTGGCCACGCGCTGGCCCACGGGGCAGTCCTCGGGCACGCTGACCACTGAGTCAGAGGTGAAGTCAAACCGGGGGCTGTTGTCATTCTCGTCCAGCACAGTGATGTAGACCTGGGCAGGGGCGTGGAACACGGCCAGAGACCTAGCGCCTCCTTCCCCTCCCTGGCCCCAAACACCAAGGCCCCACCGTGGGTCCATCAGGTCCTCCAGTGGAATGTCAGCAAGCTTTCAGAGCCCGCCTAGGCCAATCCTGACTTTACACGGAGGCCCAGAGTACATTTCTTCTAGGAGTCTGGTGGGGAGGGCCGCACACACATGGCTGTGGGCCAGAAGCAGGAAGAGGCCTGGGGGTACTCAGAGGTGGTGGGATTGGGAGAACTGGAAGGCATGGGCCCTGGCTAAAGGGGACGGAGGCCACTCAGCTCCGGATCCATGAGGGAGTGCCAGCTTGGCAGTGGCAGAGCTTCCTGTTTTTCAAGAGGAACTAGGAATCCAGATTTTTATGTGGAATTAGGTGGTGGTTAACGAAAACTAAAGAAAAAAATTATGTGCAGGCCAGCTAAGACACATCTGGCAGCCAGATATTGCCCAAAGGCATCTTCATTTGCACCTCTGGATTAGAGGAAACAGGGCTTAGTAGCAGGAGGGGCCACGAGGTAGCTTGGTGGTCCCAGGGAGGAGAGGGCAGATGGGGAAGGGAGGGGAATTTCCAACTACCAGGTAAAAACCGGGAACATGCAAATTGCATGCAAAGAACATGTTGTTTTGTGTCTGCAGCTCAGGCTTCTCCTGCAGGGTCTGGATAGCCAGCCTGGAGAGAGGGCCCCGCTGGGGGTGCAGCCTGAAGCCCAAGGATGGCCACGGGCCAGGAGGCAGAGCCACAGGCACTCCTTCGGTTCACTGACGAGGGGGCTCAGGTGGGGTTGGGGGAGGCCTAGGTTTTAGGAATCCCAGGCCAGGCCTCTTCCCACTGCCTCGCCCCAAGCCGGGCCCATCCTTTCCTTCCCCAGACCTGGGGTTCCGGGGCTCCTAGGCCTACCTGCCTCCCGGGGTGCACAGGACCCAGCCTGCGGAACCTCGTCGTGCTGCAGAGGAGGTTCCATTTCATCCCCCCTTCTAATCAGGTTTGCCCTCTTCTCGGTCCTAGCCACACTCCCGTATCTTTAGGTAGCTAGCAGCAGGCAACAAGCCCAGCAGCAGGACCAACTCCACCCCTTATTAGCTGTGCCGCTTGGCAAAAGCTATTCAACCTCTCTGATTTTCCATTTCCTCAGCTGAAAGTAGGAATGAGAACACCTACAGCACCAGGACACGGGGAGGAACAAATGAGCAAACAAAAAGTACTGGTGGGTAGCGGTCCCCATCCTGCTTCCTGCCTGGCAGGCAGGATCTCACTTGCCAAGACTCTGCCCACCCACCGTGAGTTTTGGTCAGGGAGTTCCATGAAGTTCTGGAGCCCCAGTCTGCTCACCTCTGAAATGGGCATAATAACACCTACCACGCTGTTCTCCAGGTGAAAACAAACAAGGCCTCTGTGATCTGATTCCCCCCAAACTCTCTCACTTGGGTCAAGGCCTTGTTTGGGTTCTCTGCGCTTCCTCCCACCACAGGGCCTCTGCACATGCTGTTCCCTCTGCCTGAAACGCTCTTCCCTCTTGGCTGTGTAAACTCCAGTGCTTTCTGGAGATCTCAGCTTGAGTCACTTCCTCAGGGAAGCCCTTCTTGATTTCCCTGACATCTTATTGTACGCTCTTTTGGGGCATACATTTATTAGCGTGATAATTTTTTTTTTTTTTTGGTGAGGAATATTGGCCCTAAGCTAACATCTGTTGCCAATCTTCCTCTATTCGCTGAGGAAGATTAACCCTGAGCTAACATCTGTGCCCATCTTCCCCTATTTTGTATGTGCGACATTGCCACAGCGTGGCTTGATAAGCAGTGCATAGATCCGTGCCCGGGATCCTAACTTTTGAACCCCAGGCTGCCGAAGTGCAGCTTGCGAACTTAACTACTATGCCACCGGGCTGGCCCCAGTGTGATAATTTGATCAGTATTTTCCCCCCACTATATCCTATGCTTGTGAAGGCAGGGGCTGCGTCTGACTTTAGTTTCCTGTTGTTCCCTGAGCCCAGCCCAGAGCCTGGCACAAAATAGGTGCTCCGTCCGTGACTACGACTCTGATGATAATGACAATGATGTTTGTGAGGTGCTCCCAGGAGCGGGGAGTTGGCCTCAGTGGGTGAGGAGAGACGGCAGGTGCCAAGGTCTAGGGAATTAGATAAGGGTCTGTGTCCCCACCCAGGGCCTCGTGGTCAAAATCGCCCCCGAGCCCCCGAAGGCCTGAGGGTGTTACTCAAGAGCTCTTGCAGCAGAGCCACCCCCCACCCAGCCCACCCCTTCCTGCTGCTTCCCCACCCCTCCCAGGGCCTATGGGGGCTGCTGGGGCCGGGAGGAGTCAGGTGTAGGTGAGCTGTGGTTTGGGGGTTCCGGCCTTGCAAAGGAAATGGTGGCACCTTTAAAAGGCCCCTCAGCCTGCCTCCGCCCTAGCACCTCCAACAAGTTTGGGGCTAACAGGGCTGGTGTATCTGGGGCAGCGGCCCCAGGGAGCCTCTGAGAGGAAGCCAGTGCAGAGCAAAGCGGTAGGGTCCTGCTTCCTGGAAGGGGGTGAAGCGACTGGAAATACAGGGGTCCACGTGGGAGGGTGTGCTCTAAGATGCTCTCGCCAGCTCACGCAGAGGAAGTGGGCTGCCTGGTCCAGGGAGGGGCTTCCGCAGCCTCAGGGGGCGCATCCCTGATGCTCCTGAGGGTCCACTCGGCCTCAAATTCCGGACTCCTCATGACAACAGGGGTGAGGGGCACCTGGAACCACTTTATAGACGGAGATGCTGAGGCTCAGGGAGAGGGCCCCGCTTATCTGCTCTGAGTCTCAGATCCTCTGGACGGGAAGGCCAGGAGCCTCGGCTGGGAGCTGCCGGACACAGGGCACCTGCCCACTGTCTATCATCCGAGGGCTCTGCTCACTGGCTGCCCTCTGGGACCCCTGGGGTGCCGAGGGGGCCGTGTGGGCTCACTGCTGCTCATAGCCTCACTCACTCCCAGGCTGCCCCTGTGGACGGAGGGGATTTTGGGTACAGCTAAGCCACAACCAGGGCTACGGGAGCCAGGCTCCTCGAGGGAGCTGTGGGGTGAGCCCCAAGCAGCAGCATTTGGCTCTTAGCCTGGACACTGGGTTGGTCTATCCCTTTAGGCTAATGTGAAAGGGGCTTGTGGGGAGTGAAAATGTGGCCATAGCTGAGGCTGATGATGAGCTGGACCCCCCATGTGGTGTACAGGTGGCCTTGTACCTGACTAGCTGGGGCCCAAGCTGAATCCATTGCTAAATGTTCTCATTACCACCGCAGAATGCTACCCCAGTGGGCCCTCCCCACCCCCATTTCAACCTCCAACCCGAGGTCACCTGCCTGCCTCTCCCACCTCTCCTGCCCTCCTAGAAACCTTGTCTGATACCTACGACCTCAGCGGTCACCCTCCCTCCCTGAAGTGCTCCCAGCATGCGGTCTCCCCAGCCTCTGTTCAGAGTCCTTGAGGGCAGTGACTCACACGGTGCCCACTGCGCCCCTGCCCAGCACTCCCGAGGCCCGAGCACTGTGTCCCACTTCACATGCACTGTAGTATAATGCTCCTTACACCAGCCCCCAAGAGGGGGAGGGCTTTACAGATGCCACTCCCATCACATCCTGCTCCAGGGAAAACAAAGGGTTTTCTATCCGCCATCTCCTGCCATCTTCATCACATCCTCTGAGGAAGACAGGGCTGCTGGCATGATCCTCATTTTAGACCCGAGGAAAGGGAAGCACAGAGAGGTTGAGCAATTTGCCTGTGTCACACAGCCAGTGAGGAGCAGAGCTGGGATGAGGCCTTAGTGTTCCTTCCATTGTGTGTTCCACCTACTGCTTGTCAGCTCACTACCCACCCCAGGACCCCATGGGGGCTTGGCAGGACACGGAGGGTAGACAGGCAGAGCTAGACACGGGGCACAGGCCTGAGAGGGGCCTGGACTCAGAGAGGATGGACTGGGGAGGTTGTGAAGGGTCTGAGCAGGGACCTGCCACAGGCCTGTCCACATGCCCTCTCCAGGAGAGGCAGGAAGGTCCAGCGCCGGCACTGGCCACAGACAGCAGCTCAGGAGAGAGCCCCAGTTCACAGGGTACTCACCTTCTACAGGCAGAGCCGGCAGCAGGAGGCCAGGGGGAGAAAAGGCAGAGATGCCGTTGGTTAGCAGTCTGCGCCTCTTCCAGCCCCAGTCCCAGCAGCAGTCTGTTGAAGATGCCACTCCTCCCCCACCCCGTCTGAGGTCCCATCCCTGGCCCAGGCTGCCCGGGAAGGTGTGGCATGCGGCCACAGCACCTGTTCCTGGGCTATCAAAACCCTCCCCCACTGCCTGCTCTGCATGTGGGTGGCTGCTACAGATGTGGGTTTTGGGAAGCCTTGGGCAGTGCCAGGCTGCACCCATGGGACTCACCCGGGGACCCACTCACCACGGTGGAGTCCACTTTGGGGCCGCCGTCATCTGCCACCACCGTCAAGGTGTAGAAGTCGCCTTTTTCCCGGTCCACCAGGCCCTTGACTGTGATCACACCCTGCAGGGAGGGGGCCAGATGGGCGAGTGACAATATCACATCCACCAGGCAGAGCCCGCCTCCGTCCCCGAGCAGTCCCATGCTCCGGCCAAACCACACTCCTCACCAACCCTGAGCATTCTGCCCACTTCCCCACTTCCACGCTGCTCCCTCTGCCTGGCATAACTTCTCCATGAAGCTCTGTCAGCGGAAATCCTACTTCTCTCTCAATCTCACTCAGACGCCACCTCTTCCATGCAGGCTTCCCACTTCCCCAGCCAGGTATGATTACTCTCTTATCTGGGCCCCAGAGGGGCTCCATTATACCTCTCTTGTTCTTTCTACATCTTCCCTTGTGGTGCTCTGATTTGCATCCTTAATTATTCCCACTTCTACTCCTAGTCTGAGAACTCTTTGAGGGCTGGGAAGGGTCTTGGTCATCTTTGTCTTCCCAAAAATGCCTCAAGACAAGGCCTGGCACACTGTAGTGATTACTACCTTGCTTATTTTCAAAGAAAGGATTCTGATAAAAGACACACTAAAGCAAAGATGGAAAAGTAACATCCAGGCAGTAGATAAGAGACAGCTGCACCAGACACATAGCTAAGACTAGCTATTGCAATGAAGCACCAAATTTATACCTGAGCTTCCTAACAGCCAAGGTAGAAAGGTAAATGTGATGATTTGCATAGCTTTCATTGTCTAGTAACAAGAAGACATGGGGTTGCCTATGTATGAACTTTATCTTACCCCTAAATATTAAAAGGGATGGATTACAGGGATGTTTATCCCAAAGACACTTTATGACAAAGAGGAGAGTGCCAGGCCTATAGAAGGAGCTCAGTAAGTGTTGGTCAGCTTTAAAGGAATTGAGCTCCCTGCCCCTAGGGAGGGGCCTTGCTGTGCCTGCCCCCAGCCTCCCTCACCGTGATGGCATCTATCTTGAAGAGGGCTTTGGCCTGGGTGCTGGTGTAGGTGTCAAAGCGGTAGGTGATCTGGTTGAGGTTGTCGATGGAGAAGGCCTGGACCCGCACGATCTCAGTGCCCAGGGCCAGGTTCTCCATGATGGCAGCCTTGTAGGAGGCGTTGGAGAACTGCACGGCCTCGTCCAGCTCGTTGAGCAGAGTGACATAGACGCTGCAGAAGCCCTGGTTGAAGGGGGGTGCCTGGTCAGTGGCGGACACGTTCATCAGGTAGCTGGTCTTGGTCTCGTAGTCCAGGTGATCCACGGTGACGATGAGCCCAGTGCTCTCGTCAACTTCGAACTTCCCCTCCGCGCCCGACAGGATGCGGTAGTTCACCAGGCCGCCAGCCCCTGCAGGAGGACACAGAGGCTGTGCAGTCCCGGGGGGGGTGGCGCTGCCCACAGCATACCTGCTGCTGTCCCTGAGGGAGGGGACAAGGGGCCTTGGCTCGCCTACCCAGCATGCACCACCCCCCACCTCTGTGGGCCGGATTGTCCCAAGGGATGTGGCAGAGGATGGGGTCCAGGTCTATGTGGACGGCAAGGCCCCGCACACACTGCTGACCTCCTCTGGGGCCTGGCTTTGGCATGAGAGATATGCCAGAGGGGGGTGGTTCTGCTCCTGGAGCCTCAAAATTCAAACTCCAGCACCTCCCTTGGGCATTTGGACAAAGAGAGGGTGGGGAAATTAGGGATCTCTTGTAGTGGGGGCTTTGATCTAGAAAGTGCTAGACAGGGGCAGCATCTCAGAGGTGGCCAAGCCTTTACCTTGTCCCTCCGGCTGAAGGGTTCCAGTGCCAGGCACACCTTCCTCCGTTATGCCCACTCCCTCCACCCTCAGTCCCCGTGCCTTGAAACACATCCGGCAAGCAGGAGCTTGGGCTGGGACTCCTTAGTCGAAGTCTACGGACTTTGAGGAGAATGGTTATAAAACCACTCAGGAAATCCCAGACTTCCTTGAAATTATTTGCACATTCTGAATGGACGTGCGTTTTTCTGGGGAGCGAGCCATAGCTTTCACGAGTTTCCCAAACAGATTCCTGACCCAGAAAAGCTCATGAACCACTGGTGCACAGCAGTGGATGGGACCTGAACTGTACCAATGTGCCATTTAAGGGAGAGCAATCACCTGAGAGTTTTCAGACCTCTTTTCCCCTCTACCCCACTCCATGCCCCCGGTGAGCTGCGGACGCTGAGAGGCTGGGTTGGGAGCCACCAGAGCAGCTGACAGGAAGGAAGGGCAGGAGCTGGGAAACTAGCAACAGCTCAGGGAGCCTCTCAGGGGGGCAGAGGACCCCCCCAACAAAAGGCTCTTCTCTGACCATATCCCTAGCCTGGGGCACAGGCCCAGGGAGCCAGGCCCCATGAGGAGAGCCGCAATACCCTGGTCACCTTTCTCCTTCATTTTGCACTGCTGTGGCCACCTCTGTTGCTTAGGGCCCTTGGTGAGGTCCGGGCTGCCTTCAGGGAAGCCACCGGCCTGTGGAACAGGACACTGCCCCTGTGAAGCCTGTGTGTGCAGGCCCTAAGCTGCGGCTGGAGGAGCAGGCCTCGGTCAGCCCCACCTCTCCTAGCCCTGCGCAGCCCCGAGCCAAAGGCTCGCCGGGAGTGCTGGGTTCTGGGATGACAATCTGGACTTCCCAAGCTTGTGACCGCTCCTCTCTCCACCCAGAGGCTGGGACACCTCCTCCTGACTCCAGTCCTCTTAAGACTGGGCATCTGGTGGTGTTGCCACCAAGACTGTCCCAGGAGCCCCTCCCCGGTTTGGGAGCCACTGAATGGGGGATCTGAGGCATCATGAGGATGACAGACCCCATAGGAGCAGGAGAGATGAGCTGAGAAGAGTCACTCTGGGGAATGGGCCCCCCTAACTTCCTGCTGCCAGCCTCACCAGTGTCTCGGTCTGTGGCTTGGACGACAAGGACTGACGTGCCGATGCCTGCGGTCTCGCGAAGCCCCAGGCGGCTGTACTGCTGCTGCGTGAACACAGGGGCCTCGTCGTTGACGTCCTCCACGTACACCATCACCTGTAGGAGGCGGGTCAGGGACAGAAGGTCAGGGTGGGGTGCAGACGGGGGAGGCCCAGGGCTGGGCCCACCCGGGCCTGCGTGTGTGGCCACTGCTCTCCTGGGCCAGCTGTGAGCTCCCCATGGAGGGCCTGGGGCTGTCTGGTTGGTCACTGTGTCCCCGCACCTTGCACAGGACCTGGCATGTGGCAGGTGCTCAAACATCACTGGTTAAGGAATGAACCTTATCTCATTCTTGGCTCTGCTACTAATCCTGTGGGAACCTGTGACTAATTAGTGAACCTTTTGGGTCAAGTTTCTCAGCTATGAAACGGCAGTATCAACATAATAATTCATGCCCGGTGCCACTCCTAGGGCTGTTATGAAGACAAAACAAGCCAGGGCCTTGCAAAAAAGTACTTGAAAAAGTTTAAAGGGACCCTGTTCAAATATCCAGATATATCTGGGAGAAGAGCCGTAAAAAGTCAACTACGGTTGTGGTAGAGGACGTGGCGCTCAGACCCCTTTAGATTCTCACGCACTTTCTCTGGGTGCTCTCACGGCCTGCGGCCAGCACCCAAAGCTCTTTGTGGAGGATTAACCCCACCCCACCCAGGATGATGGAACCTGCATACCCAGAGAGCCAGAAGTGCCTGGGAATTACATCCCCTGGGGCAGCCCTCAGCCATGACTGACAGACGGGCGTGCAAATACTCGGGCTTCCTCGCCCCAGCTGAAGTGACACTCTCCAGAGTCCCAGTGGGACTGAGTCCAAGTTCCCTGCGCCACTTTGCTACACGCCTTTCCTTGCTAGTCCCAGGCCCTTTCTGGCTTTTCCTGGGGACACTTCCTACTAATCACTTTCACACCAATCCTTGTCTCAGGATCTGCTTCTGGGGACCCTGCCCAAGACAGTGGCTATGTCTGTTATGGAATTATGTATAATTTTCATCACTGCTTATTTGTACTTTCTAATTTCTCTTTAATGAACATATATGTCTTATGTAACAAAAATAAGACAGTTGAAAAAGCTGTTTGTGGAAAGAGATATTTACAGCTAGAGATCAGCACCACCATCCTTCTTTTGTGTGCCCCTCCCCCCAGCACACACAGGAGCACGGGGAGGGTCTGGCCCAGGTATGGGCAGGACCAGGTTGTGTCCAGAAGGACCGGCATGGTGGGGAGGGGAGTTATAGCCACAGACTGTTGCTGCTCAAGGAGCCATAGGGAGGCCTAGGGCCCCTGCCTTTTTTCCCAGATGGGGGAACAGAGGCCCAGAGCGGGGAGGGACTTGCCCAACGCCTCACGGTAAACGAGAGTGCTGGAAAGAGAGTAGGGGTTCTCCTCCTTCTCAATCTACTCATCCTACTGCTCTTTCCTCTATGCTGGGGATGAGCTGGCCCCAGACCAGGAGAAACCCCTTCCAGCCTAACAGAAGCAAGGCCGGCCGGAACTTGCCAGCAGAGTGGAGGGGAGTAAACGGGGCATAGGCAATGACGCGCAACACAGATTTCACATGTGGTCAGCAGCACTAATGGCCGGGCCCACGGCACGGGCAATTTGGGAGCATGAATATCTGGTTTCCGATTGATCGCTGTTGCTGGGATCAGCCCTGGCTTCTCTTTTGAATTTAGCTGGGAACTAGCTGGAGGGAAATGAAGGAGCTTCTGTGGTATAAGCAGAAATGGTGGCTGACTAGTGGAGAACTCTGGGGTGGGTGGGGTAGCAGAGCTAGTGGGAGGAGAGGCATATGGGGTAAAGGTTTCTCTACTTCTCTGCTCTTGGGGTTCCTGTGGTCCTGCTGTGTCATCAGATTCTCATGTCCAGACACCCAGAGCCCACTATGCAAACTAAAGTGCCCACCCCACACAGCTGTTCACAAGCCGGAACCTTCTAAGTTTGGTTTCACCAAGAACTTGGCTGGGGAGATCCTGGGTGGGGTGGGTGTGGGGGGAATTTGCATGGATGAATTTCGGGAACTCTCTTCCTGTAAACAGAAACTAACCATCCATCTTCCCCTTCCCAAGTCTGTCCAAATGGCCTTGACTCCAAGTATCATGGGTTAAAATCAGGGCCGGTCTGACAGTACGATAAAGAGCAGGGAGGTGGCATAGAGCCTGGGTGTGGCCCGTCCTCCGTGAGGCTGACTGCATGCCACTGTCCTCTTGTTGGTTTCAGCCTCGTTTTTAGCAGCAGTGACAGGAGGCAAAATGGTGTGTGGTTTGCAAACCTGAGAGGCACAGATGTACAGGAAACACACAGGTCTGCCAAGTTCTTGCTGAGCAGGAGGGCTCAGCTACTGAGCCATGGGGCTCCCTGGAGAACCAGCCCCACTTCCTGTCCAGTGCTGTGCCCTCCGACAGGGACAAGACAGGAGATGTGTGTGCGCACACACACGCAGTGTGCACGTGAGGCACCCAGTCTCTATGAGGGCCATTTCACTCCACGCTCCCTGCCCCTCCTCTGCGCTGCCAGTGGTCTCTGAAGCAGGAACTGGGGAAGGTGGGTGGTCCCTGCGAGCCATCTCTGCTGCTGTTGGGGAAATGAATCCAGGGCAAAGCTGGAGTCCCCACACTGTCTGCAGGAAGGTCCCCAGCTTTCCTGGGGCTCAGGGGTGTGGGGGCTATGTACAAGAAGGGCCATCAAGCTGCCGCCCCAGGCACCAGCAACCAAATGCCCATCTTAAAATGACTCAGGATAGGCAGCAGCAGTCTCTGCACTTTGAAGAGCATTACTGAGGCTACGTAGTGCGCTGGTGAAGAGAACAGACCTGAGCTGACAGCCTGGGTGTGAAGCCCGCTCTACTCTTACCGCTGTGGGACCCTAAACACAACGGCCAATCCTTCTTTGCCTCAATCTCTTCATCTGTAAAATGAGTATAATAACAGTGCCTACCTCCTAGGGCTGTCACGAGGATTAAATGAGTTCAAGCACATGAAGCACTTAGAAAAGTGCTTGGCACAGAGTAAGTACGATGTGAGGGCTTATTATCCTCAGGGTTCATGGGGAGAGGAGCAGAGGAGGATGGTGAGCAGGTGTGGTCCTGGGTGTCCCACCCTCACACGACTTGCACAGGCTGGCTTTGATCTATTTTACACAGGACGCTGGGGCGCTGCACAGCATTTTGTTTAAAAAGGTCTGTGGCTAAAAAAAGGTTTGCAGCCACAATGCTGAGGCCCTGAGAGGAGCAGGCCCTGGAGAGAGGTTCCTGCCTGCTCCTGGTGGTGGGGAAGCGAGGGGGGCCACCAGGAGGGCTGTGGTTAGGCAGCTTGAAGTCCAGGGAGCCACCCTGAGCTATGCCGCCGTCAGTCACTCTGCGGCCTGAAGCTGGCCCACAAAGGGCAGGCGCTTACATGGGTGCACTGATGGGTGCACTGATCAGCACGGGAATAAGCAATTCAGTCCTGCAGGGGAGCGGGCTGTGTGGGGCTGCTCAGTGTACATTCAGGTAAGGGTATGCTGTTTGACCCTGAGTCACCAGGGCCCTGGAACAGTTCCCAGCAACCCCAAGTATAAAAACCCAAGGGGTCTGACCCCCTCAGCCATCTCCACCCGGGCAGACGGGCAGCTGTAAGGACTCAGGTTTCCCTTCCCATCACTTCCTGGGGCAAAGCAGTGGGGGCATCAGTGGGAGATGGGCCAAGGCTGAGTCACTTGCTCTTTAGCACGTCCCTCATGATGGTGGCCCCAGGCAGGTATCCGTTCATTGTTTCCAGCCCGGGGAAACAGCGGGGTGGAGATGGGGCTGATAAGAGGAGCCGATTCTGCCTCACTCAGTTCTGGGTAAAAGTCCCTGCTTGCTCCCCACCCCGACTTTTCCCATCTCCCTCCCACTCTTCACCTCTGGGGGCTGACTCACTTTCCACCTGGTTTAGGGGAAGGGGCTGTGAGCTGCTGAGTGTTCAGTTGGGGGGCAGTGGGGGCGACCTTGAGAGGTGATCTCATTCATCTCAGTCATCCCCCTGCCACCAGGTGGGAGAGTGCCTAAACTGGCCCAGCCCGGGGAATATTTGTGTGTGTTTTGGACCTTTCAGGAGGATTAAGCTGTAAGGGGAGAGGCCCGAGGTGAGTGAGGGTGGGCAGAAAAGAATATAATTGATGGGGCAGCGGGAAGTGGTGACTGGAATATTTGGGGACACTTCCAGTGGAAGGAGCACTGGACTTGGACTCACAAGACCCGGGCTCAAGTCCTGGTTCTATCACTAGCAACTTCTCTGTGCCTCAGTTTCCTCATTTGTAAAATGTAGGTGACAACATCTACATTTCCAAGATCAGATGTGTGAGATTTCCTCAGCTGACCCTCGAGAGCTGTGTGGGTATAGGGGTTAGCACAGGAAGGACACTTCTTTCATCCCGTGGACAGACATCAGTATCATTGGCCTCCTTCCACGTCTGGAGAAACTGAGGCTCAGAGCAAAACAACACGTCCAAGATCCCAAGCTGCGCTGAGCCTGGGGCACCCCCCACCGCACCCCTAGCTCCAGGTGTCTTTCAGCACCTGAACCAGTGGTAGCCCTGCCCGCCCTGGGCCCCAGCTGGTGGCTACCTCCGGTCCAGCTGTGGCCTGGGCCCAGCCCTGAGGTCAGCACTGAAGGGGATGCAGGGCTTCACAACCTGCTGACTGGCTATCTGCGAGCCGCCGCCCGCCCCCAGCCTCACCCTGACGGAGCTCCGCATGGGGCCCAGGTCATGGTTGTAGGCCTCCACTACCAGCACGTGGGACGAGTTCCGCTCCCGGTCCAGGGGCCGGGGCCCGCGCATCAGGAGCCCATTGCTGACGTGGATCCGGAAGTTGTTGCCATGGTTACCTGTGTGGAGAGACAGAGGAGATGCATGGGCTCTGTCCTGGAGCATGATGCCTGTGGGAATGTGGGGGGAAACGAGGGGGGTCCAGACCCCCAGAATGCTGACTCTGCCCAAAGGTCTTGGGAGATTGGCCAAAGCCCACAATGGCAAAGAGACCTCTGCCTCCTGCTGCCCTGGCCTGGCAGGATTTGAGGGAGGGGGCAGAAGCCCACCTTATACCCTCCTTATGGGAAGCCTGGGGGAGTCCCCTGAGACCCCCATATCCAGAGGTGTCAGTGGGTTCAATACTTCAGAGGGATCTGGGGCACTACAAAAAGAGGAACCAAAACCAAGTTCTCTGTAGGTGGCTGAATCAAGGATTTTGTGGACATCTCTGGGCTGGTCCAGCGTCCACTCCACCGTCTTACGGTAATAGCACCCTGATATTCCTTTGGGGATCCACCCTCCTCCACTCTCAGTCCATGTGCTTAGTGTAGGAGTGATTTCACCCTTGATTCCAGGAGGGGGCAGATTGGTATATTTTAGACTCTGGCCATAGTGATTGGTTCAGGGATGGTCACGTGATTCTAGATGGTCCAATAAGACTCAAACTCCCCCTCCCCATCAGGGTGCTATCCCACTGTGGGACATGAGAAACTTCAGGAACATAGCAACCAGATGAAGCACCCTCACTTAACAGACATCCAACTTGGGGCCAATGATTGGAGAATGGCCCCGTTTCCTCCCTCTGGCCCACCTGTGTGTACAGTGCTTAGGGCTCCCTTGGCAGCCCAGAGATGCTCTGCCATCCTAAGGGCAGGAAGGCCGGCCCTCGCCATCCCAGGGCAGCCCACTCACCGTGAAGGATGCGGTACCACACACGCCCAAACTCGCCCTCGTCGGCATCTGTGGCTTTTAGCTGAGGGAGAATGAGACATGCCATCACTCCTTGAATTCCACCCCACAGGGAGAGAAGTTTCTGGTGCCTCTCTTCTTCCCTCCACACCACCCCCACCTGTCTTGCCCAAACCTGTGGTTTCCTACAGAGCTGGGGGTATGGAAGAGGAGAGGGACCTGTCTGTCTTTCTCATTCCCCAGGAGGACACCTGATTGTTGATGGCTCTGTGCTGCCCTGTCTGTGGTGGGGGACCTGCCCCCTCTACTCCCTGATTCTCCTTCAGGTTCTTGGGGAGGATGGGGGAGAAGGTGGTGATGGCACCATGGCTCTCTGGATCCAGCCTTGACTAGGTCAGCCCACACCTCCACGGTCCCCTCCTTCGCCTGCTGAGATCCCAGGAGCCTCACCTGGGGTGCTGCTTCCTGCCCACACCTCTTTGGTGTGAAGCCATTCTGGCCATACTGGGTCCCAGCCGGGCACTGTCTACTGTAACGGCCACTTTGTGGAAACCCAGAAATCCCACCTCCCAAAGGACAGCTCCATATTCATTCACTCACACGATCGCTCCAGTCTAGTTTCCATCACCCCGGCTTGCTTGGCTGTATCTCAGGCTTATGTACCGTCTCTGGTGGGACTTGGGGGTGTGTTGTTCTCACTCTGAGAACTGCCCAGCACTTAGCCCTTTTTACAAGAAGTCCAGCCTTAAGGCTGTTGGCAGAGCCACAGCCAGCGCCAAGGTGAGTCCTGTCAAACCAAGAACTGAACACCTGCTCTGCCACTGCACGCCTGAAACAAGTAGAGAACACCCCCACTGCAGGAAGACGCCCGCAGGGCCACGGTGTGTTGTCTGTATGATTTGTGGTGAATTGCTTCATAACACCCTGGACCCTCCCACTTCTTCTGGATCCCCCTCTTCTCTCCACCTCTCACTTCAACCCTGTGGTGTGCACTGGGGCTGCCAGGTTCTTACTGACCATGGCCAGCAGTGACTGGTCCAGAAGAGGGCACCTGATCAAAACTGGGCCAATCACATCCTTCTCTGGGATTTTGGACCTTGGGCCCAGAGAAAGAGTGAGCGGTCTTCCTGGTGGTAAGAAGTGGGAGTGTCTGAGCTCATCTTCCACCACTCCCTCCTCACTAACTCTGCCCTAGCCATGCCGGTCTCCTTGCTATTTCTTGAACACCAAGTGCAGCCGGCGTCAGGGCTTCTGCCTTCACTGTTTCCTTCTCCTGGCCAGCTCTCCCTCCAGATATCTGCATGTTCACTCTCTCATCTCCTCAGGTCTCTGCTAAATGTCATCTCTCATAAGGCATTCCTTGACCATTCTATATGAAATTGGAGCCCCCACTCCAGTACCCTGGCTTCTCCTACCCCCATGAGCCTCTGATACACTGTATCTTTGCTTACTGTCTATATCCCTCTGGAAAGACGGGGCTTTGTCCAATGCTACATCCCTCGTCTTTAGAACAATGACCCTGGCACAGAGCAAGGTCAGTATTTGTTGAATGAATATGTGAATGACTTAGTAGCAGATCTCTGGTGAGAGCTAATAAAGCTGATATTCAGCAAACAGAGGTGAAGGACGCACAGCACAGAGCACTGCAGTATTTGGGTCCTTGGTCCCAGTGATGCCAGAGGCCCAGCTGCATCTCCACCTTTCCCGGTTTGACTCTTCCTTTGACTCTGAGGGGTATCCCAGCATCTCTCCAGCACACTTCCTCTTCTGTCCAAGTGAATTTGCACTGAGTTTTTGTTTCCTGCCCCTGAAGCCCTAATGCAGCCTCTCCCATCTTGGCCCATTGGACAGCTTCTGACAAGTGCCTGCTGTGTGCACAGCCCTAGGCCAGGCACCATGGGGGATCCAGAGAAGAGGGGGATGAAGCCTACTTGCAAAGATCTAGAAAGCAGAGGCCATCAAGGAATGGATTGCCAAAGGTTTCCATAGGAGGAGTTGGGTTTGGAAGGATGGGAAGGACCTGGCTTAGCAGAGAGGGTTGGGAAGAATATTCCGGCCAGGAAACAGTGTGAGCGAAAGCAGAGGCTGCTGAGGTGGGCTGAGCAAGGGCCTGGGACCTCACTCTGTCTGGAGTAAAGGATTCATACTGGGACACAGCAGAAGGATGTGGCTGGATGGGTGGAACAAAGCCTCAATGAATAGCAAAAGATCTTTCTCTCTGGGGCAGTGGGAGCCTCAGCAGAACGTGGAGCACAGAAAGGACAGAATGGAGGCTAGTACGAGAACGATGCGCCTGGCAGCAGGTGCTGGCCTGCTCAGACTCGGGCACCCAGGGGCTGAGGTAAGTGTGTCTAAGGATTTTGAAAAGTGTGTTGATGGTTGGGAGGAGGGGAAGTATGTTGGAATGAAAGGAACAAGGGGTCTGGGTCAGGCTGACCCAAGTGTGAATCTTGGCTTTGTCACTTCCTGGCTATATGACCATGGATGAGTAACTTAACCCCCTTGAGCCTCAGTTTCCTTATTTGTAGAATGGGCACAATGATAACTAACCTTGCAGGGTTGATGGGAAGGTTAGAAATAATCTCTGCAAAGCATCTTGTCTGGTGCCTGGCACAAAGATAGATGTAGAAGGTTGGACATTTTGAGTTATGCCACCTCCTGGCAGGCCCTCTTGATTTATACTGGAGAGGGGATGGCTGGGTTGCCCCTTGCTGTGAAGTTCTTCTGCTCCCCCTCCCTGAGAAGTCTTAAGAGCTAGAAGACAGAGGGATGTACTGGAATGCTTCAACAGTCCAGATCTGGAAGGAATCAGGATGGGCGAGAGGGCTGAGCTGTCCAGAGGATGCCCTTGGGTATCTCTATCCATGGTGAGATTTTCTTGATGCTCCCCACCCCCAGCAGCCTGCACCACCCTGGGAGCTTTGCCTCCTGCCATCTCAGGAGAACAGGGGCCACAGATGAGGTGTCCAGACAGGTTGGGTAAAGAAGGTTAAGGAAAGTGAGGGGCAGTGAAGGGAGGGAGGTAAGATGCAGGAATCCCAGTGGGGGCTCTGGGTATCGGGAACATCTTTAGGCTGATGCTGCTCACAGCACCAGATGCCTGCTACCCATGCCTGCCCACCCTTTTGAGGGGGAAGCACCAAATCCCCACCCCCACTAACTTGATGGGTGACCCTGGCCAGGCCACATCTCTCTGGACCTCATTTTCATCATCTGAGAGAGAGGGGGCTGGATGTGATGACCCCTCAATCATCTAATGGACTTTGACGGTCCACGGAAGGCTCCCATCCATTTGGGGATGTGCAGAGGATGCTTCTCTGTAGTCAAGGGCTAAAGGCAGGAGGGAAGAGCTAAATACCAAAAACTGGGTCTCCAAAGAATGGGGTGGGCCCCAGGCTCAGGTGTGGGGCAGAGCCACAACTCCCCCACTGTGTTGTATTTCTGGGAGCTTAGGAGTCCCTGATGGGGAAGCTGCTTAAGGCTTAGGCTCCTAAGCAGGCAGCTGGTTACCAGGGAAGCTCTGGCTTCCAGGAAGAAAGGAAGCTGGGGGAGGGGGACACATATGTGTGTGTGTGTGCGTGTGTGTGTAGAACCACCGCCTGGAGGGTCTCCAATGGCCCACCCAAACTTGAGGAGCACAGCCTTGGCTGTCCCTCCATCCTGTGCTTTCTGCCCTGTGATCTCTTTGACCTTTGAAAATGCCCCTCACCCCTCCCTTCTGCAGCCAGACACCATCAAAAGGAAGGTGCTTTTCTGGGAAGCTGAGGGAGAAGCCTGGAAGGTGAGGCACCCAGGGACGCCGCAGGAAGCGAGGAGGGGCCTCAGGGGCCGCCAGGGCCCATCTTTCTTCCTGTTCCTCCCCGCTGCGCGGCTACCCTCTCCCCGGTAACCTGGAGGCTGGCAGGCACTGAATAGCGGACTGCTGGCTGCCGCCCGACTGTACCATTCAACGTCCAAGGGGGAAGGTGAGCGCCTGGGGCCGCAAAGGCAGTGAAACTCTCCCCCTGTGTCGCCCCAGCGCCTCCACCCCTGAGAGGGCTCCAAGGAGACAGGCTGGAGTGAGACCGTGGCAAGGCTCAGGAGCACCCGGGCTCCTCTGCACGGCTCGCCTCTCCCTCTTCCCAGCCCAGTTGCCATCCCTACCCTCTTGGCTGTCCCCTCCCAAAAGGCAGGGCCCAAACTCTTCCAGACAAAGCCAGGTCTAGCTAGAGAGTGAGGGGAGACAGCCCAGTCTGCCCGGCCTGGCTGAGGGCTCAGGGCACGGCAGAGCCCAGGGAGGATTGGGGTCCTGGGTGGCACCTGGTGCTTCTTGGGCCTCCCTTGGACAGCTGAGAAGACCTCTCCTCCCAGCTCGGAACTACTGAGGGCTGGCTCCGAGGTCAGTGCTTGGGGGCTGCAGGAGTAGGCTCAGTGAGGAAAGTGGGGCCAGACCCTTGCTGGGGTACTCTGGGGAGGATGTGTGGGTGCGCTCAGACCTGGGGAATCCCTCTGCTTTAGTAGAGAGTGGAAACAAGGCCCAGTGAAGGGCAGTGGCTAGGCCGAGGCCACACAGAAAGATGTGCTCTGAGGTCAGTGCCCTCTGCTCATAAGCCCTGCTCTACGGACCTCTGAGGGAAGAAAGAAGGTTCTAGACTGAGCTTGCAGAGAGATATCCAGAGCAGGGCCTGGGGCATGCCCTGGGCTCCAGCAGGCAGAGAGAGGCTTCAACTGCCCCCAGGACGATTCCTAGCCTTGGTCTGGTGGAGGCCGCCTTTTCCCGGAACCAGCTGGCCCTTGTTGGCTAGTCAGAGGGAGTGTCAAGGGGGCCTGGCAGCTGGCCTTGCTGTGTGTTCCAGGAGGGCGGCTTGATGTTTTCAAGCACTTTGGAATCTCTTGCTTCCAAGGGAACTACTCAGACGCTAATTATAGCCTCACTTATCTTTTTATGAAAGCGTGTCCCCAAGGGCTGAAGCCTGGACCTGCTTTGCTAGCCTGATAGGGTCTCCAGATGCACGTGAAGGCCTTGAAATGACATTAGGCCTGGAAGGATCGAGACCTCCCATTTCAGAATGCTCTTTTCTTACTCTCAGCCAAGCACTGCCCGGGGTAGGATAGAGGAACCGCCATTTTCCTCCCCATGGGAGATGGCCGTGGGCGCACCCCAGCCTCCTTCCTGCTCAGATTCAAGGAAAGGCCAAACCACACAAGGCTGTGACTGCCGGGTCAGAGATGCGCTCTCTAGGCCCAATGCCTGAAAAGCGGCGGCCCTGGGCAGTTAGACAGGCATCAAAGTTTCCAGCTGGGAGCTAGGAGGGGTCGTGTTCTGTCTGGAAATGCTGGAAGGAGTGGTAGCAGAGAATGGGTGGGAGTGGGGTGGGGTGCACTGAATGCCCTCGGTCAGCTGGGCACAGGGTGAGGTTGCATGCAGAAAGGAGGCTGGGCGGAGGGAGCCCGGAGATGGGTCCTGCGGCTGCTGGTGAGTGTCTGGGGTGGGGACAGGGGCTCAGGAGGGTGGCGGCTGGGTGGCCACTCTCTACTCCCCACTGCCCACTGACGGGGACTCTGTGGCCCACATGCAGAGCATGGGCATGATTTGAAGGGCTTCCTCCTGCTGAGTGTTGGTGCTGGAAACTCCACTGTTAGACTAAGCTGCGAGCTGGGAAAAGGACAGCAACCTGCTATCCCCAGTGGCATGAACGGCTCCCAGGCCAAAGAGAGATAAATGATTATTTTCTATTAGACCTTTTTTTGGATTTCCTGTCCTGTGTTTCTAGAAATCAAAGATCACACATGCTGGCCTGCAAGCTGGATGTATCCTGCTTACATGTTTTGTTCGGCCTGTCGTAGTGTTTTAAATATTTGAAAATTCATTACAAATATTTTTGGAATCAAGTTTGTTTGGCCTCTGCAGTGTTTTGTTTTGTTTTCTCTCTTGCCTTAACCAAATTTGAATTAGTTGCCAAAATTTAAACATCAGCAACGTTTGCCTAAAAATCCAGATTCCTGGCCGCTCCTGGGAAAGCATAAGAGCCGACTGCCCGGGCCTGCACGCCGGCATTCTGGCGTGCCATCAGCCCAGCCGAGGCTCCTGCAGCTCCTCGGGAGGGCCCAGCCAGCGCTCCGGGTAGACCCGCCCACCTGTCCTCCCTGGTCATGCATTATCCACCAGCCAGGCTCTGCGAGCCTTTTTATTTGCAACCCCAGACACATTCAACCAGAAGCTCAGCCTGACTGTCCATCTCCAAGGACCGTCTGTCATGCTCCCTCTAGTGGGATGATCTTAAGTGACAACAGGTGACTGGTGTCTCTGGGCAGGTTTCGAGCCCCACCTCGTGAACTCTGTTTGTTGCTGTGAGTTATCTCCCACCTGTTCTCGGAGCAGCTCAGCGAGCCTTGAGAGAGGGTTGGGAGCCAGAGGGGGGGGCAAGGCCACAGGGCCAGAAGTTGGGAAACCTGATTCTGCTCTTTGCTTGGCCTCTGGCTCACAGTGTGGCCTTGGGCTTGGCCTCCTTGCTTGGGCCTCAGTTTCTTCTCTTGTCACGGGAGCAGGCTGGACTGTATCAGGAAGCACCAACAGGAACGGCCAGGGGGCCAGGCAGGTGAGGTGAGGTGTGCGGTGGGCCTGCGGGGGAGTGCAGCGAGCTGGGGGCCAGAGCCCTGTCTAAAGGGGGCAGCTTCCGCTCAGCCCCAGCCACTGGTGCCAGGCAGCAACTGGTCCCATGTTGCCACTGCTGAAATTCTGAAATTTCAAGAGAAGCCAGACGTTCAGATATTTATGTGAAATCTTTTAGTTTTTGTGTTTTTTAAATATTCACAATTAAATTTATAAAAGCACTACAAGGAAGCAATGAAACACACCGGTGGGCCCCCAGTTGGCGGCTTATTAGAGAATTGCCAGGGTCCTTGCCAGGTGTAGCATCCTATAATCTATGACTCGTTCCTGATTACAGAGCCACTTATTGATGAGTTGGTCTTAGATCTCAAGTCTTCAGGTCTAAGCCTCCATTGTAATTCATCCAGAAGGCATTACCCTCCTGTCTCCTCCATGGCAGGGGGGCAGGGGCATGTAGCAGAAAGAGGATCAGAGTTCAGGCCCAGCTCCATTACTTACCTGCTGTGTGACCTTGGACTTGTCACATCTCTGGGCCTCTTTGTTGTTACCTGTGAAATGGCCATGATGCTCTCTGCAGCCGGTTTAGCAGTGCCCAGCCCCCAGCAATAGTGCCCCCTCCCCAGCCCAGGCTCCAGCTGATTTGCCTCTGAGCTTCTGTCCCATTCCTGTTGCAGGAGCCATGAGCACAGAGGGGCCCAGCCCCCTCGCCTTCCTCACAGCTCCCGTCACTCCGGGGAGCCCCACGGAGGCTGCTGACCTCCTCCCCGTGCTCTTTGCCCTGGCCTGCATCTTCCTCCTGCTGACCACCTGTCTGCTGTTCATGATCCTCTGCAAGCCCACTGCACTGGACCCGAGCCGCCGCCAGGCTCGCGAGTGCATGCCCCACCACCCTGGGAGCCCCAGCGAGCCCCAGCTCCGGCTCTGGAAGCGCCTGGGCTCCTTGCGCCGCTCCCTGCACAGCTTCCGGCGTGGCCGGCCCACTCCTCGACATCCCCTGCCGGACTGTGATGACAACCACGACTGTGACTGCACGGAATCTACCAAGATGTGATGGGGTGTCCCTCCCATCCAGGATCCACCCTGGATCCTCCTGCCTCAGACAGAGCCTGGCACCACAGACTGCAGGAGGACAGCAGCCCAAGCAACCTGGGCCACACGCCCACGCCCAGTGGTTCCCTGTGTAGCAGGCCCACGGCCTCTCCCAGAGGTGGCCCTGGAAGAATACCTTCCTCTCTGCAGAACCTCTAGCTGTGGCTGCTGCAAGACTACTGGCCCAATTACTGAGCACCTGCAGCTATCCAGACCCTCAGCCCGAGTCTCCCGGCAGAAGCCCTGCCCACCTGCAGGTGCCAAAGCCCAGCTCGGATTCCAGTGCTGGTTGCCGAATGGCCAAAGCTTCCCTCCAGCCAAGCGAAATAGCCCACACTGGGATCAAGGTACTGTCCTGTTCTCTGTGCCAACTCAGTGCCCAAGGCAAAAGCGAACCCAGGGACTTCTCTCTGCGGATTTCCTTAGCCTGCCAGCATTCGCCCAGTAATCCATGGGAGCAGCCAGCACCCTTGTGGTGGATCTGAAGCCTGGGTGCCTGCTGGGAGGAGGGGCAAGCAGGGGGCCCTCAGCACTGCCTACCAATCACAATCCTGGCAGCCATCTCGGCGGCCCCCCTTCAATGCACCCACGTCAAGATGGACCACGAAGGGGCTGAGAATGGGTTAAGAAGCTCCTTGCAGAGGCCAGGACTGGTGCTGTGTCAGAGCGGCAGGAGGCACTGCCAGCAGCTGGAGGTGATGCCACCTGGGCTCTGAGGACACACCATAGTAGCTCCTCAGGAGGGAGGGTCCTGAGCCCTCCAGGACAGCTGGGGGACCTCAGGTGTGCTATCTGTGTTTTTGGCAATTGCTTCGTTGACTGGGTACCTGTCAAAGCAATCCCACCCTAGGATGGGCTTCTCAGAATCCCACACCCTCAACCTTTCCTCCCAAGGCCAGGGCCAAACACTTTGGTTGGGTCCTAAATTTGGAGAGTGGGTAGAGGGCGACTGAGCCGCCTCGTTCCTGCCCCAGAGAGTCAGCTGGCCAGGGCCACCTTGTGCCCCACCCAGGGCTGCCCCATCCCACCCCGCTGTGACCCATAGTGCAGCTAGCCAAGTCTTATCAAGTGTGAACTCCGGTTTTTCCACTCCCCAGCTCCAAAACCTTCACTGGCTTCCTACTGCTCGCTGGATAAAGCCAGAACTCCTTAGTCTGGCCTTTGGCGCCCACTGGGCACTGGCTTCAAACTATCTTTCTAGCCTCATCTTGACCCAGGACTCCAGGCAAACTGAACTACCTGTCCCGGCCTGGCTGTGGGTTATGCTTCACACGGCATGCCCTCTGTGAAGCCCTCTTTGCTATCCAGCTGAAAGCCACCTCCTGCCTGGCACTGCCCCTCCTCATCACACCCCTGGGAGGAAGGACAGGGATCACTTCCTCTTGGCGGGGTGGGTCATCCTTGTTTGTGTCTTCTTCTTCCTACAAGCCTGGGAGCTCGCAGAGAGAGAGACTGTGTCCAACCCCTCACTCTGCCTCACCAGCTCCGGGCACGGAAGTACGGGGCCTCTCTTTACTGCTTGCAGGGTGGCCCAGTCTGGGGTGTCCCCACCCCTCAAAGCTGAAGGAGTCCTGGGGGAGCCCTCGTCTTCCCTTGGACACCCCTACAGAGAAGCCTTCTCTCCAAGCAGGCTCTGACGGACAGGCCCACTGTGCCTGCCTTCCAGGCCAGTCTGATGCCAAAGTGAGGCCAGCAGCTTCCTTCCAGCGCCTTGGAGAAGTCACCAGTGCCTGAATTTCTCCTGAGAAACAGGGAGAATGAGGGCTGCCCTATATTACTCACGCGTTCTAGGATTTCAGGCTGAGTATTGTGTAAATAGAAACCAACTCTTCGGGTTAGAAAGTGGGGCAAGCCTCCTCCCACAGGGCTTTGTGACCCCTCCCGTCCAGCTTGTTAACCTCTTCCTGGTTCCCTCCTTCAGGTCTCCCTGAGTCATCCCAGGATGAACTCCACCTGCAGTCAGTCGTCATGTCAGCCCCTGGCCAGTGGGCCTTCCTGGAGACCAGGGGTGGGGGTGAGGCTGCCCTGGGGCCTGAAGGGGAAGGAAAGGCTGGGGGTGGGGAGGGTGCTCTCAAAGGTCTGGCCACACCCCTACATCTGCCCCCAGGGAGGTCCTGGGGGACCTGCCTGGGAGCCAGCAGTGGCAGTGTGGGGGAAAGAGGTCCCACAGTTTTGGAGGGTGGGTGCTCTCCAAGCCCCCAGCAGCTGAGGCCCAGAGGGAGAGAACCTCCACCCACTTTCTTTGGAAACCAGCACCAGACTCTTACAAATCCCCCTGGCTCCCTGGACTCTCAGGGCCTCTCCTGCCCCCTCTTGGCCCCAATGCAGGGAGGTGGGCACACGCCCAGCCTCCCACGCTTCTGCCCCTCCCAAGCCCGGGAGCCTGTCCCAGTGAACAGGCCCAGATTTGCTGTGTTTGGCTCAGCCTCCACCCACGGGAAACCCCGCAGCTGGTGAAGAGGGTAATTCACTCCTGCTTCCCTCCCCATCCAGCACTGAGGCCTCCAGGGCAGGGTGGGGGAGGGCACCCCAGCCTCATTTTCAGGGCCTCCCCTTTCTCCCTCTGAGCTGTTGCTTCTGCTCCCTGGGCAAAGGAGCCTATTCTTCTCGTGCCTGTTTACTTCCCGAGAGGGGAGCTTCGGCCAAGCGCCCTGTGAAAGCCGCTCTGTTCTGGGCCTTGCTGGGCCCTGGCTCTCTCCTCTCAACTGCTTTCCGGGAAAATGTGACATCTCCATGTCCTCTTTGCTCTGAAAGGCCTTCTAGGTGGGGTGGAGGATGAGGAGAGGGCTATGGGGGACAGAGGGAGGGAGGGAGTGGGGGGCCAAGGCCTTCCTTCTGTTTTTCGGGAGCCAGGACCCTGTCTTGACTACATAACCTGGGGGCCTATCCTCCCCAGGAGGGAGGAGGGAGCCTGGGTCCCCCATTCCCCACAGCACTAGCTACCTCCAGAGCAGCAGCTGGACCCTCTCCTGTTTCCATCCCTCCCTGCCACAATGCCACCGAGTGTGTATGCACTTGGAGCTGAGTGTGGCCCTGCTTGCCCCCAGCCTGCCACCTGCCCCGGGGGGCCACGGCCACCTGCCTGCACGATGCTGTGGCCCTCAGGGATGTCCTCAGGAACGCTGGCCTCGTAGCTGCTCTGCAGAAAGATGGGCCGGTTGTCGTTCACATCCAGGACAGTGACGAACACCGTGGCCGTGCCCGTGCGCCGCTTGCCTACGGGGCCATTGTCTGTGGAGATGAAGGAGGATGGGCTGTCAGCAGCTGCCTGAGGGGCAAATTCCCTGGGCACGTGCCCTGTTCACGCCCCCACTCTGGCCTCTGCAAGGGTGGCCCTTTTCCTCAGATTAGGAATCACACTAACGGTACCTTCTATGTCCCAGGCACATTCTATCTCATGCAGTCCTTACGACAAGCCTGTGAAGCAGGCACTGTTATTATTATTATTATTTTTTGTGAGGAAGATCAGCCCTGAGCTAACATCCATGCCAATCCTCCTCTTTTTGCTGAGGAAGACCGGCTCTGAGCTAACATCTATGGCCGATCCTCCTCC